ACTCCTTAGTAGGTAACTGTTTCCTTTTCTCTTGCTGCTTTCAAGGTCCTCTCTTTATCTTTAATCTTGGGTAACTTAATTATGATGTGCCTTGGTCTGTGCTTCCTTGGATCCATCTTCTTTGGGACTCTCTGAGCTTCCTAGATCTCCTGGAAGTCCATTTTCTTTGCCAGACTGGGAAGTTCTCATTATTTTTTCAAATAAGTTTTCAATTTCTTGCTCTTCCTCTTCTCCTTATGGCACCCCTATGATTTGGATATTGGAACATTTAAAGTTGTCCCAGAGGTTCCTAAGCCTCTCCTCATTTTTTATTTTTTTGCATTCTTGTTTCTTCCTTCTGCTCCAAATTGTTGTGTCCCCATTTCCTTCCTTTTACTGTTGGTTACCTGTATATTTTTATTTGATTTTGCATAGCCTTCACTTTTCCCTCTATTTTGTGACCATACTCAATCATTTCTGTGAACATCCTGATTACCAGTGTTTTGAACTGTATATCTGATAGATTGGCTACCTCTTTATTGCTTAGTTCAGCTTTTGGAGCTTGATCTTTTCTTTCATTTGGGCCATATTTCTTTGTCTCAGGGTGCCTGTTACCTTGGGTAAGGGGCGGAGCCTTAGGTGTTCGCCAGCGTTGGGCAATCCATGTAGCTGTGCTGTGGCACTGTGTGTGGGGAAGGGGTCAGAGAAGGAACAATGTTGCTTGCTCAGCTCTTAGCTGGCTTTCAGTCACCTTCCCCACTACCCACAAGCAAATTGGGCCCTTCTGGTCCTGATTCCTGGATGGGTGGGTTTGTGTATGTTCTGGGACCACATGGGTCTCTCCAATAAACTCTCCTGTGAAGCTGGGATTTTTCTCCTGTCACAGCAAATCCCACAGGTTTTTACAACCAGAGGTTTTGAGGCTTCCCTTACCCACGCTGGACCCCTGGGCTGCATGGTATCTTGTTCCCCAGTTGTTCCTCCCAGTTTATCCACATGCAGATGTGGTACTACCTGGTTTGTCAATAGCCACCTCACCTGCTTGGTCCTCCTCCTGCTGCCTTGCCTCACGGCCTCTTCGCCCCCACTGCCCATCTCCACCCCTCCTATTGGTCTGGATGAATGTTTCTTCTTTAACTCCTTGGTTGTTGCACTACCATACAGTTTGATTTTCTGGCAGTTCTGGTTACTTTTTGTTTTTAAATGTGTTGTTGTCCTTCTTTTGGTTGTGCAAGGAGGCAAAGTATATCTACTGATGCCTTCATCTTTGCCGGAAGTCCAATTAAAAAAACTGTATAGTTCTTCACTGCTTAAGCTCTAAAGGATAAAATACACTTTTCATTTGGCTAAAAAAACTAATTTGGCAACATCTGGTCCTAGCCTTCCTTTCTAGATTCACTATCCTCCCTTGTAAATTACTCTCCAGTTAAATAGAATGGTTTGGAGCAGGCTACTGTGAGACTCAGCTAGAAAGCTGGCTCACCTAGGCTGGGTATTGAACACTCTTAGGCCTGTGGTACCTACTAGTCACTCTAGCCAGGCTGGCTAAGTGCCTTTTACTTTGAGAATCTAGGCAAGAATGAGGATTTAAATTTTAATGGCAGTGTTTCCAAAGCCAGGTAAAACAGAATGAGAACACTCCCCCATGAGTCCCACTGAATGCAGCTATAAAACATAATGCATATATCAGCTCTTTGAGGAGTCTGGAAAATAAAGAGTATCAGGCAAATTAAAAAAGAATAATTTATTTGGCAATCCTCGCCCAAGGATATGATCACTGATTTTAGAGAGGGCATAGGGAGGGAAACATTGATCAGTTGCCCCTCATATACGCCTGGACCAGGGACTGAACCCGCAGCCTAGGCATATACCCTGATCAGGAATTGAACCTGTGACCCTACAATGTTGACTGGCCAGGGCGAGGAGGAACAATGCTTAAAAGACTGTAATTCAAATTCACTGAACCAGTTCTAAGTTTAGATTCTGGATTTTATCCTGGACATTGTAGACATCATTTTGTATACACTTTGGGTTGTTTTACTCTTTGTGAAAAAAATACTTAAGCATGCAATTAACTTTTTTAGACTTGTTCTATAGGCTTTGCCTTTTGGTGGGTTGCAATTCAAATCTTAGTTTATTTCATTAAGTCTCTGAGTTTGCCTTGTGCATGTGGGTTCAGGGCCAGCTTGAGACTTGTGAGGGATCCATATACAGAAGAGGAGGAATACTCCTTTTGGCCCTCTGCCTTCCAGAATTCTCCCCTTATTATCCAAGTATAGTTGTTGCATGTTTTTTTCCTCTGGTTCCTTCAGCCAGAAAGATGATGGTGGGCTTTCAATTACAGTTTTAGCTGCTCACACACTTTGTGACTGTGGCCCACCCTCAGGGTAAAGATATACACACCCACACAGAGACGTTTACCCACGTGCTAGTTTGCTTTTCAGATTTTGACCCCTGCTACAAGTGTCTGCTTTTATTTACTCTTTGAACCCCCAAGTAGTTGTCTTTTGTATTTTTTCATGATGTATAATTATGAGGACAAGGGATGTTTTCTAGAAATTTTGTATCATCATAACTAACTAGTTTTGTTTAAAACATAAAAATGTGTTGCCTGTGCAAAAAAATTACACTAATAATTTACAACAGTATTTGGCAATGGTCAGCTTCTTAAACTGTGTAGTGTTTACACAAACATGTGTTTTATAATTACCTCATTTTATATCCTTTTCTGTATGCATAACACTCTGAACAGTTTTCTGAAAATGAAGTACTTCGGCCCTTTATAACCAAAAGTCTAGCTCACTTAACTTACCCTGTGGATAATACTGCTATGAAAATAACACATATACAGTATTTCAATTATATCCAAATGGAAAAATTCAATAAAAAGGCAATCCCTTGGATTGTAAAAGTGAATACATTCTCAAACAAAAAGTCTCACATAAGGATAACTTAGTAAAGTCTGTTTTAAAGTGGGTTCAGGTAAACAAACAATCCCCTGCAGTGTTTCAAAGCATTAGAGCCCATACCTTTGGACTGAGATCTTGGTTCAAATCCTGACTCTACCTCTTACTAAATATGTAACCTTGGGTAAGTTACCTCAACTTTCTAAGCTTGTTTGCTCATTGTTTAATAGAGAAAACAATAGTACTTACCTCTCAAGATAATCAGGTAAATTAGGTGATGAATGTAAAACATTCAGCACACAGTGTTAGATACCTATAAAATGTTTACAGTTAGCTATTAATAGTACTACTAGTAACATTTTCTCCTGAATCCCAAAGTATTTCTAAGATCTATTTACTCAATTACTAATATTTATTTGGTATACTTTCACAAAAACAAGTTGAGATCATATTCTTTCATTTCCAGGAATGAACAACCTACAGTTTAAAATTCAGCACAATACTAAGACAAGTTTTAGTTGAATGCACCCTCTAGTGGTTTATGTTATGTGTAGGTACCTGGCTTCTGTGAAGAAAATCCCTTATGAAATATCCCTAGTTAATAATGCTGAAGCCAGCTGATTGAGAACATTATAGTGTAACAGTACTATCCTATGTTTTAGAAAGCTCCCTCTATTCAAGAGCTGGAGGACTTGTCTTTTACAAATTTCCCTACCATAAGACCTAGGATATTTGTGATATTTATCATACCAAATCCCGTCACTTCCACAATATTAACTTTATTTTCCTCTTAAAGTGGGTTACTTTCTAGTTTGCTTTAGCATTTACTTCCTAAGTACTTATTCTTCATTTAGTTATCAAAAATGAACTGAGCAGTAAATACATACCGGGCAAGGGGGATACAATAAACAACTTACTACACAATTGCTTATATAATTAAACATTTGAAAAATGCTGTAAGGAAGCATCAACAGCCATGAGTGTACAATAGGGGACTGGTGTAACTTGGGGGCGGGGACATTGGAAAGATTACTTGAGAATAAAAATGTTAAAAACCTTGAAGGGTTAGTAGAAATTGAGAGAAAAGGAGTATCATACTAAGAAAACAGCCTATGGGAAGGCCTGGAGACAGCAAGGTACATGGGGCATTTGCTAAACTGAGGAAAGCTTCTTATGCATGGAGCTCAAAGAAGAGGAAGATTGTGCAAGGTGAAGATAGTGAGGCAAGCAGGGACTTAATACCATGTTAAGGAGTTTGAACTTTATCCTAAGAACAATGGGAAACTATGAAGAGATTAAAGAAGGAGAGCAACATCTGATTTACATTTCCGCAAGTTTACTTCGTTAAAGCATGGAAAATAGATTTGACGGAGTGCAAGTACAAATGCCCAGACCAGCTGCTAGTAACCCAGGTGAGATGTTGAAACCTGTGACAAGGGAGGTGGCAGTACAGACAAAGAAGTGGACAGATATTTAAGAGATAAAAGATCCAGCATGACGATGGGGATGGGAACGTTGGTTCTGGTGAATTAAGTGGATAAGATAGGTATAACTAGTGGTGGTAGCCATCTGGGAGCGGTTGTTGAAACAATGAGCTGTTTTGGAGACCCAGGTTTTAAAAAAGTACTTAGCTACACTGTAGTGTACTTCAATTGAATGCATTGGGCAGAAGAACCATGAGGTACTGTCCTCTAGCCAACAGGACCCCCAAAGTCTTTTATAGAGTTCTAGCACAGGGATCCACTCCCACCGTGTTAATGCCTTTTACCTTACATGTGCCTAGAAAGCTCTTAGCTCCCTCCAGCTGCCACTTTCACCACATCTTTTTTCGAAGTTCAAAGGTCATTTTAAGAAAGCGTTTCCCGTGTTCCACCCCACCGATCCTCCCGTCCATTTCACCACTGAAACGTGAGATCCGGACGGCACGGAGTAAGCACTCTTTAGCTTTGTGTCCCAGGTGTCCAGAGCAGCGCTCTTCAAATTCTAGGAGCTCCGCAAAACTTTACTTAGCCACATTTACCCGCCAAGGAAGAACCGTTCAGCCAGTCTACTGAGCAACAGCCCAACCCCAGCTTGGTCCGCAGGAAGTGATGCGCTCTCAAAGACGACGTACTTCCGGTATCGAGAGCCTCCGCAGGGGAACGGGCTTCTCTGGCATGGTAACTCTGCTGCTCTGGAGGATTCCTGCACGGTAAGGAGAGGCGGGCGGCAAAACGAGAGGGAGCCCCGGGACCGCCCACAACGCGGTTGAGTGCCTTCCGTGGGTTCCTGGGACCAGGCTGGAGGGCAGAGGGCCTGGCTGCTAAGCACCTAAGAGCCCTCAGCGCCAGGTAGAGCTGGAGTGCCGGGCTACGCGGCCTCCCTGGGACGGCGGCTCGGGGACGGGCCTCCGCTGCCTGGCGCTGGCCACTCGGGTGGGCGCGTAAGTCCCGCCGGAGGCCGGCGTGCGAGTCGACCCGGACGACCGGGGCTTCATACTCGGGTACTCAGGAGAAGGATAATCCACCTTCACTGCGACAGTCTCGGGATCTGCAGGGACGAGTGTCTGCGCGTGGTGTACAGTGACGCACAGTATCTCACCTATTTATTGGTTCTGCCTCTCAGGTTGTGTTGAGGGAGTTTTCGACCACAGAAGCTAAGGTTTTTAACATTGGTTGTTGGGCAGGATGCTGCCTTAAGAGGAGTGCAGCTTAAATGAGGATGATTTGCTAGACTCGGTCCCATCACGTGACTGTGAAGTTTTCTGTATTTCGCTTGTCTGCCGGAAAGAGTTGTAGTGACAAACCACGTGAAACCACAGGATTTCTGTGTACAATTTGCTAACGCGGATGGTTTGTGTTGAAATTGGAAATTAACAAGATTGGAAGAGAGCAGCCCTGGGACTTAAGAAATAAACGGCTAGGAAAACTGTGAAGTTTGGAAGAGTAACTTCCTTCACTGTTATTCCCGTATTTTGCCACATATAATGCGTAATTTTTGCCTAAATTTTGAGGGAAAAATAAGAATGTGCGTTATACATGGGAAGTACTAATTCTGTATCTATATAAATGTTTTTAATTCTTTTACTTATGCTTATCCATTAAAAGTGTAACTCTAGAAAGCAATAACGACATCTGTATGCAAAATAATACCCTGTAATATGGTAATTGGTTTGTTTCTGAAAAGAAATAAATAAATTGAGTTTAAAAAATTAAAACGAAAGGTTTCTTTTCCTGAAAGCTTGGGTCAAAAATATGGGTGCGCATTATACATGGGAGCACATTATATATGGCAAAATACAGCACTTTGTGATTTAAATTTTGCAAAATAATTTGGTTTCTTAGTGAATGTTTTCCAGTTTTAAGCAAGTATTTCTATTATAGTAGGCATACTCTTGTTTTGTTTTACTGGTGGGGTAGCTTCTCCGGTAAGGGCTAAACTTACATTACAGGCATATCTCTGCAGCACACTATAGAATTAAATATACAGATACCTAAATGAAGTAAAAGAAAAACAAAAACCCATGTTTTAAGAATTCAAATTTTAACATATGGACATATGTGATATATAGCATGTACTTTTAGTTTAGTTTTTTTCTTTTAAATGATGACTAATTACCATGCTTGTCTTAAAGGTTGATACAGTACCTCTGATGAAACCATGACCAGATGGGCACGAGTTACTACCACACATAACAAAAGACCCTTGCCTGCAACATCATGGGAGGATATGAAGAAGGGGTCCTTTGAGGAAAAAGGCCAAAACCTACCAAAGAGTAAACAACTTGAAACCAATAGGCTGTCCCTTAAAAATGATGCACCCCAAGCAAAGCACAAAAAGAACAAAAAGAAAAAGGAGTACTTAAATGAAGATGTGAACGGATTCATGGAATACCTAAGACAAAACTCACAGATGGTTGACAATGGGGAAATAATAGCAAGAAACAGTCAGGAAGTAAGGGAAGAAATTGCAGTTGCTTTAAGGAAAGATAGTCGCAGGGAAGGAAGACGATTAAAAAGACAAGCAGCAAAGAAAAATGCAATGGTAAGATGATCACTTCTACCAAAGCATTACTTTATATGGCTGGAAACTTAATTATATACCAACATATTTTAGCAGTCAGATTGCTGTTATGTACTAAATTTATAAAGCATCCTTGTGAGGGCTAGTAACTATGCTTGGCTCTTAATGTACTGATTAATTATCAGAACAACACTACAAATATGGCATCCCTATATTGTGGGTAGAAAACACTAACGTGCAGATAGGTTAAGTATCTTGCTGAAAATCACTTAGCTAGTAGCAAATGTGAAATTCAAAACCAGGAAAAAGTGTTAATATTTGACTGCTTAGAATACTGGCTGGTAGTATGTAAGCAGTGTTGTTAAATAAATATGAACGTAAATGGGCTGCTTACTGTGCAGTCCAGCCAAAAAAGTTTTTTCAAACCCAGAGTCTTCAAATAGCCCTTTTTCAAATTGCTGTTTTTGAAAAAAAAAAAGATCAAAATAGTAGGAGGGTTGAGTACAACAGGTTAAATATGTGCAGTTTTGGTTACTTGCAAAGGATGTACTTTTTTGTCTTTATCCATGAAAAACTGAGACACAAGAAGGAGCTCTAATACAAATCATAGTAGTTAGTAATGGAGTAGCAGAGTTAAAACTTCCTGAGACTGCCCCTGGTCATTGCTCCCTCCCTCCCATTTTACACCCAGAGGAATGCGGGGGGCTGCAGCTGTATTCCTGTGGTGCTCAGCCCTAGATTTCAGACCGTCAGACACAGTCAGTGAAATACGTTGTATAATTCTTGCCCTTCTCTAAGTGTGTTTCCCAAGTCTTCTAGCAGGATGCTACATAAGAATCAGGATTTGTTACCATTTTATACTTTTCATTTTTTTATTAGAATTAGTAAGTGTAGAGCACTGTTTGTACCAATGCAGGTTTGAAATGTTACAGCTGCCATAAATGTAGCTTCTGACATTTGCAGGGTTTGTTCTATGTAGTAATTTATGTAAAGATAATTATTTAAAGATAATACTGAGGAGACATTCCTCATGGATAAATGGGGATGGAAAAGATAACCATTTCTATTTGGATTAGGATAGTTTTGTTTAGATTGTACAATTTTAAATATTTTTAAGCCAAGTTAACTTAAACAGTTTAAAGATAATTTCATTGACATAACCAGCATGGTGAATTGCGTACTATTTGAAAAAGTTTAATATTGTGACCTTTTAAGAGAAGTTTTAGGTTTGTAATTAAGGGGGAAAGAGATTGTTCTTTTTTGGTTTTGGGGTTTTTTTTGTTTGCTTTTTTTGTTTTTTAAAGTAGTGCTTTATATTGAAGTATATACTTTAAATAGTATGGCTTGTTGTGACCTACCTTCAACTGGTCTTGTAATTTTCTTAATACCTCGTACTTGGCCTCAGTTCTTAATTGCTAATAAATTAAGATATAGATATTTACTAGTTCTCTTTCCACTATCCTATTTACATAAAATGTAAGGATCATTCAAGAAACTTGTATTTGAAGTTTACATAAAAACTAACTAGGGAGCTGTCAGGCTGTTAGAGACCACCTTGACTTCACCAGAAATCTAAGATCTCTCATGTTGGTGATCCAAAATTTAGCATTAGCTTTTTCTCCAGTTGTAGAATAAATGCATTTTCTTGCCTTGGCTGGGTGGTTAAGATGGTTGGAGTGTCATCCCTGTACACCAAGAGGTTTCAGGTTCGCTTCCTGGGCAACACCTAGGGTGTGGGTTCAATCCCTAGTCAGGATACATACAGGAGGCAAACTGATCACTGATTGATATCTCTTTTTTTCCTCTCTCTTCCCCTCTCTCCCTCCCTAAAATCAAACATATCCTTTGGTGAGGATAAACAAATAAGCTCATTTCTTTACTTGGACCAGCTCCTTCTAAATGTAAAAGATACTGAAGAATAAAGGGACTCATTTTTTCCCACTGTTGTTAAATAGGGAAAAAAGGAAGGGCATAATTGTAAAATATTACGTTTTATTTTGCCTGTTGAATTTGCTTTTGTAAAAACTTATGTTTATTTTGGGGAAAAAAAATTTAGATGAAATATTTGTTATCTTAGAACTATAGATATCTTTTTTCCAGTTTAAATAGTTTAAATTTGCTTATGACTGATGTTCTCTTTCACTGCAGCAGAAAATCCTCCAAATTGCTAGAGAGTATGTAAAAAAAGCAAACCATTGTCCAGTATTATGTTGGAGCTAAATAATTCATCTTACAATTATTCCTTGAAAATGAACTGTATACATTCTAAAAATGAAACATCTATTTTTGAATATTAAATAATATGTATTATAAATATATTAAAACTGTAAGGTATACTTTTTGGTATGGAATTTATTTTATGATGTGAATCATAATTTAAATGGAATCATTTAACCCAAATTCATTCAATTATATGAACTTAAATGTGCAAGGATTCATTTGAATGATAATTTTTATGGCTGTTATCTACTCCAGAAAACTCAATTTTTCTAGTCATACATCTGCATTAATGAAATGTAGTCCATAGTTGCTTAATTCATTTAAGTGATGCCTCAGGTAACTTTGTGTCTGAAATTGATGGATTGAGGGTTTTCGAAAACACTGAGACCCTAGCGGAAATGACGTTTCTTTTGTTTAGAATTGTGTGAAACACTTTTTTATCCAGATAAAATTTGAGATTTCACAAAAAGTGCTAGATAACCTTAAAATGAGAAATGTTTTAAAGATATTTTTGATAATAAGGATTGGTAAAGCCAGAGCAGTTTTGCAGTGTGGAAACTCCTCTTTTGTTTTTCCAGGTGTGTTTTCATTGTAGAAAACCTGGCCATGGGATTGCAGATTGCCCAGCCGCCCTTGAGAATCAAGATATGGGCACTGGAATATGTTATCGATGTGGATCTACAGAGCATGAAATAACCAAGTGCAAGGCTAAAATAGACCCAGCTCTTGGTATGTGGGTTTTTTTTCCCTATCAGTTTTTGATTTGCTTATCAAAAGTGGGAAAGTGGCCAATAAGTAGCCAACTGGGTTTTTCTGTTGACAGGATTATGAGTGTACCACTTTTTTGAAATCATATAAGATTACATTTTAAATATGTAAAAACTCGTTTTCTTCTCAGAGTATTTTGAAACAATATGAATTATATGACTTGATTGAGATATCTATCTAATCTATCTATCTATCTATCTGTCTATCTCCAACTTAATAGGAACTCTTTGATCCTTACAGGTGAATTTCCTTTTGCAAAATGTTTTGTTTGTGGGGAAATGGGGCACCTGTCCAGATCTTGCCCTGATAATCCCAAAGGGGTCTATGCTTATGGTGAGTACCGTCACCCTTTTATGTCAAAAATGGTGAGTCAGCATGCAGAGTTATATCTGATTTACAGCATTAATCGGTTCTTGAATACATTTTTGAATAAGTAGCAAAACCTTGAGAATTTCATTATTTTTATCAAGCGCTATTCTATGTACTAGACTTTTTGGGTAATATGACTTGATATAGCAATAAGTCAAATCAGGAAAAACTCCGGTGAATATTTCACACTCTGTACTTGCTTTAGCATCATGATGAGAATATATTATAAATTTCTACTTTTAAACATAATAGAAGCAAAGGGATTATATTTCAAACTAATATAAGATTTTAAATATGAGATTTTAAAAATAGTGTTGTGAATTTAAACTCAGTCCTTCATACCATTTTGTGTAAATGGCCGCTTATGCTATTATATTTGTAGTAGTTTTTGTTTCTGAATGTTTTCCTTATTGTCTGGCATGGGATTGTATAACTTTCTTATTTTTTGCTCAGCTAATGTCTTAAGGTCCTCACAATAAAGTCTGTGATTCTCAAACTTTAAGGAGCTTGTCATCTGTTAATGTGAGTCATTTGTTAATGTGATGGCTGGTACCACCAGGTTCTAGACACCTCTTGTGTCATGTCCTGTGTTCCACTGGAGAAGTCCAGTGAAAAAGCATAGCTTTTGGAGTTAGTCAGACTGGGTATAGCTGCTCACTGCCACTTACTGGCTGTGGGATTTTGGCCATATTTTCTAACGTCTCTCATCTAAATTTCTTCACCTATAAAATGGAGATGGAAAACTACTACATATTTAATTTGATTCTAAGATGCATATTTTTTCACATTTTAATATCTCTGAACTCAGAATGCATCTCACAATTGGTAGGTCCCACATAATTGACATGTTTTCTTTTTTCTGAGGGGTATGTAAAACAATGATGCATCTTACAATCAGTGCTGTCTTAGATTTGATGAATTACGGTATTTACTTTGAAAAGTCACGAGGATTAAATTATGTAATTTCACCATGGTCCTACAAACAGTGCAGAGGCCTGGGCCTGGAAAGGTGCTCTAAAGTGCCTTCCAACTTTGAACCTGTGAAGCAGGTCATAGAACATGACTAAAGAGCAAAGATGGTTTTGGATGGTCAACTAAGATGACCAAATATACTTTTTAAAACAAGCAAGAAGAGTAGATCACATAAAAGTGAGAGGTTTATATTCTGTAGGGTCATTTTTCTGAGTAAGTTACTTAACATTATGAGCATGATCATGATAATGCTTGACCATTATACAAAAGACTCATTTTAGAAACCACAGTCCTGCAGTGTTGCTTAAAGTAGGTAAATAGGCATTTTAATTAGGGTTAGGATGCCTGGCAGATAGGAGGCATGGAAACAAAAGTTAATCTTTATTCCTTTTGTAACGGCTTACCCCCATCTGACCTCTACTGCAAAGCAGTGGTTTCTAACCTTTTTTTGGGAGGGGGTTGGGGAAGGAGGTCATTAGACAATGTGACAAAAACTGTGGACATCCTCCATGAATACAAGAGCACATAAATTTTGCTCACAGATTTAAGAGTTTACAAACCCTTGCCTGTCTAACCATGGTCCAGGCTTTTGTGCCGTGGCTCTTAGACACTCCAGAGGACTAGTGTTTTCCTGACACTAGGAAGTATCTTCTCTTTCCCACTTCTCCCCTGAAGGCCGGGTGTAACACATGGGTAGGCGCAGTTTAGTGCTCCATGAGGTCAAGAGGAATGGAGAATGAACTTATTGGTAGGAATGGTGATACCCACCTGTGTTCCAGGCTCCAGCTACCTTTGCAGCTGGCAAGGTTGTAAGGACCTACTAAGATATGAAAGTGCTTTGAGATGTTAAGAGCCCTGTGTAAGTGTGAGAGGTTTTCAATGACTTCGTTCTTTTACTAGGTGGTGGCTGCAGACTTTGTGGCTCTGTGGAACATTTTCAGAAAGATTGCCCTCAAAGTCAGAATTCAGGTGAGATCTCTGCGCTTTCATTTAGAAGGGATAAGATTAGTAATCCTCTGTTTTTGCTGCATTTTGTTATGACTTGAGATACTACTGATTTTAAGGCAGCCTGGCTTCCGGCTGCAGTGATGATGTAACCATTTCTTGGTCAGCAGTAGGCGCAGTGCTAACTGAGCATTGGCTGCTGTTCTCTGGTGAGAAAGTGAGCAATAAGCCCTAGAGGGTCCTGATCTTATAACACACCTTATCCATAAACATTTATGTGTGCTAACTAATTTAATAAATCAGTCTGTTACTTAAAATATGGATTCACTAATAAGAAATATGAAAATAAGTTTCAATATTCTTATAATTGAGTATCCTCATAATATGGTTTGCTTTGTGTGTACCAGAAGGATTCAGAGTTGATCGCAAAAACTGCTAAAAATATTAAAGTTGTGTTGTCCACACAGTATCTGCCCAGTTTTACTTTATTCCTAATGAAATACTACCCTTGGTCATCAAAAACTTCATAAGTGTTCACTATACCTATGGCAGATTTGGCGGGAAGGGGAGACCGTTATTACACTAGTTTACCTGGATTAGAATGATGATAATCCTGTGTGAGAGAAAGCAAGATAGTAGATATCCCAGTAGTGCTTCTCAGAGGGGGGAAACCACATTTCTTTTTATTTCAGATCGTCACAATACTACACAAGCAAGTCTGCCCATTTTTACTTCTTGCATCTAACATTTAAATTTGAAAACCAAGAGTTCTTGTTTATAATCTTGTCTAGAAGATAATCTTTACTACATTGTAGGCAGTACGATTGAAATGATGAAGTGGAATTTGAATTCTCCCTCCTGGGAGGATTGCCACTTCCCAAATGACAAGACTGACAAGCAGATGTTGTATAATTTCACAGGTGGAATCTTGTGCATTTAAAAGTGATGCTTCATAAGTCTTGCTGTTTACAGACTCTTGGAATTCATTGACTATATAATGATGAACTCTGGGAAAGAACGAAAGCGCTTTCTCATCAATTTGTGCATTGCAAAGCAGTTGCTGCATTTCCCTAATTGGGATGAGAAATTGCCTGTAGTACTCGGAAATCAAGGATTATAATCAATTACAGAATTGCTCACTTTCCTTTAGTGATGGAGTATTCCCTCCTTGTGATTATTCATATCAAAACTAGTTCCTTTGCAAAATCAAAACCAACCTAGGTGGATGTGTTTGATTACAGATTTTCTTACATTCTGACTTTCCTGTTCCTTGACAGATCGAATGGTTACAGTTGGCCGTTGGGCAAAGGGAATGAGTGCAGACTATGAAGAAATTTTGGATGTGCCTAAACCACAGAAACCCCAAACAAAGATACCTAAAGTTGTTAATTTTTGATAATGATTAGTACTATCATAAATTACCACCTTGTTGTTACATTCTGAACTGGACCTTCTTCACAAGTTGGAGCTGGGCTCCCTTGGAGAGGCCTGTGTTGTAGATATCAGTATGATCTGGATGTTCAAGTAGTTTCCTGAATTCTGTCCATCAAGGAATACTTCTACTGCGTGAGGGAAATCACTGAAGAAAAGCATAAAATGTTTATATTGGATTCTTTAACTTTTTTAACAGATAAAACTTAGGTGTATATAAGTGGTAACATAGCTAATTGTAACAATCATCTTTTCCTTAAAAACAAAATTATGCTTTCATCTGAACCACCCCTAAACAAAGGGTAGCTGCTTTGTATTTAGAAATGAATTTTTAGTAATATTGCTTTTTAGGTTAAAAGTATCAGTTTATTTATAAGTTGCCAAAAAAATCTGTATTTTTACAATATTTAATAAAAACTTGCTATTTTTCTGAATAACTAATTCTGGATTTAACTAGCCATTGTCTAACAATCTCTTTGGAATCTCAATCTTTTATGAATCCTAAATGAAGTTAATTTGGATTAATTTTTGCTTCAGTTTTCACATAAAGAATTACATACGAGTATTTTTCAGGTTAAAAGTGAAGAGTACCTCACCGTAGCAGGACTTTCTTTGCCCTTGATTTTCAGGAAAGAAATTCTAGCCAAAATTCAGTTTGGGGTATTTAATCAGAATGATGACACATAACAGATTGTATATCATACATAATAGCATTTTGTTCATATGTTTTAGAGTCAGGGTGAGATGCAAATATCACCATAATAGAGTTAGAACAATAATCAGAGATCCATTAGCTTCTTGGATGCGATGAATACATGCATACTTAATACATACATTTCAGGAGGCTTAAGGCTCCCATTGTACTGTGTAATGGAATGACTCTAGTGGATTGTGTATTTCATTTGGAATTTTACCTGATTGGATACATTTGTAATTTAAGAAAACAGCCCTGATTAGTTACTGGTGTTTCAAAAGCAAAATATTTACCAAATAAGAAACACTTTCAATATCTGCAGAACTCAACAGTTCTAGTCTTACTAGAAGCTGTTCTTTCCTTTTCAGGGACAGGAAAACATGACAGGATATGGCTCAACATCCCAAAGCTTAGGGAAGTAGGTGCATTTTAACAAGAATTGCATAAGTCACACAGCTGGAAAAGGACAGCAGCGCTGCTGTAGTGCCTTCCAGACACCTGGCTTATTTCACCTGTCCTCCCAGGAGCAAAAGGCTCTGAGAAGCAAAAAGCTGTCAGCTGCAAGACTAGTGTTTTTCGTTGTCTTCAGCAGAGATGTTAGTGCCCATTTTGTCTTGGGTTATTTTGTTTACATGTTAATGATCTATAAATTAGTGGAATTAGAAATAAACTGCAGGCACCAGATGTAACATTAAAAAAGTATATGGGCACTTTGTCCGAGGAATTCACCAGACAAATTCTGACATCCTGAGAGACTATTTCTTGAAAGAAATGGTGGATGTTTATTTTCTTAGCTAAAAAGGCCTAAAGAGGAAGCTAGCCTAATTTATTTATTCATTATTATTTCCCGAGAAGCTACCGTGTTCCTAATACTTCCTTAGGCACATGGGGTTGTGGCAGTGAGTAAGATGAGGCCACGTGTGTTTTAATGGGGCTGAAGAATGGGGAGGAGATGCTGGGAAACATGTATCAGAAATATCAGAACATAGAAAAGTAATAGAAAAATACTTATTTTAAAAATATTTTCTGGACTGCCCTAAGACTGAGTGGTAAGCACTCTTCCTTCAGTCCTTTGGAAATACCTCTTCTTACCAACCTTATCTTCCACTTTTCTGTGGCTGACTCCGGTCCCATGTTCTCACCTGCCTGTTGGACATTCCTACTTGGATTTTATACAACACCTCAAACTCAATATGGCTTTAAACAATCATCCCTTCCCTTTGGGGACAGGGGGCAGGGAACAAACCCAAAGACTAATCCCGCCTCTTTTTTCTACAATTGTATTCCAAGCCACTAGGCTTGAACCTCAACTTGCTCTTCTGTTGACATTCTCCACTCCCAACCCCATGGCCAACCCTCCCTTATTTCCTTCAGGCCTCTGCTTCACAGTCATCTTACTAGTCTTTATGACCAGCCTTATAGAAAGTAGCGCCTTCCTCATCCCAACAACTTTTTATTCTCTAACTCTCTAATTTTCTCCGTAATTTATATCCCTACCGAACACTAGTTGTCCCCTCTCCACCAGAAAATAGGTTACATCAGGGCAGAATTTTTTTTAAGATTTCATTTATTTTTAGAGGGGAAAGGAGGGAGAAAGAGAAGGAGAGAAACATGAATGTGTGGCTGCCTTTCACATGCCCCCAAGCCAGGACCTGGCCTGCAACCCAGGCATGTGCCCTGACTGGGAATCGAACCGGCGACCTTTTGGTTAGGCCAGTACTCAATCCACTGAGCCACACCAGCCAGGGAAGAGCAGGAATTTTGACTTGCTCATTACTATAGTTACCCCAGGAAGTACTCAGCACATAGAAGTTTCTGCTTTTGTTGGGTGAATTAAATGAATAAGTGATACAAAGGGAGTTAACAGGTGTTGTAGATGACTATGTGCCTACTTTAGATGATCAAGGGAAGGTCTCTGAGGGGGAGACTTTTCTGCTGAAATAAGAATAACAAGAAGGGACCAGTTGTGAAGATAACAGGAAAGAGCATTTAGGGAGAGGGAATAGTCAAAGCTCCTAAATAGGGAACAGGCTTTCATATTTTAGAGGCAGAAGGATGTGCTCCTTTGTGACTGGCTCCCTTCGCTTAACAATATTTTCAAGGTTCATCTGTAAGATTCCATTGTATAGATATACACGGAGGTATATAAGGGGTAAGCCTTGGATATCTGGGTGTGAGGTAATAGATAAATGTAATTATACTGAAGAAGGAGTATACTTGCATAATTGGAAAACAGCAAAGAGGCCAATATGACTGGAAAAGAGAGAGGGATAAACTAGTAGGAAAAGGTCAGATAGTTCGTAGGGATCATAGTTTATAGGCTCGACCAGTTAGTTTCTGCTGTGTAACAACCACAGAATCTCAGTATAAACCTTTACTTAGCTCATGCCTGTGAGTCAACTCTAGGCTGGGCTTACTTGGACTGCTCTGCTAATGTCAGTGGAGCTTGCCCATATCTATGTGAAGTTTGGTTTGGGGTAGGCTGATCTAGGCTAGGCTCAGGGGAAGCAGCTCTGCTCCATGTCTCTGTTCCTTGTCCTGGGAACGGCAGGCTAGCCCTGATAAGTCTTTCTCAGGACAGTGGCAGAGATAGATATATGAGGGCAAGTCCACCTTTCAAGCCTTTGTTTGCATCATGTCTGCTCATGTTCCATGAATGAGTCACACGATCAGGAAGACAAGAAGTAGAATAGTATACGCCATTCATAGAGGTGGGAATGCTGGTGAGGGAGTGAATATTTCTGAAAAATAATCTAATATACCACACAGAGCCTTACTGAGCATTAAAAGGTGTTGGCTTTTACTGTGTGATACGCAAAATTGTTCATGGGTTTTGAGAAGAAATATGACATCATTTGACTGCTGGGTTGAGAGCAGAGTGAATGGAGAAGAAATAACAGAAACTGAAAGTTTATAATCCAGTGAGAGAAGCTGGTGTTTGGATTAGCGTTGTAGTGGTGGAGTTGATTAGGAGGGCTCAGGTACTGATCATATTTTTAACATCGAGCTATAAGATTTGCTGAGTAGAGGTAGAGATTTGACAAATGAACAGCAGGATGTATCTAAACTCTTAAAGCTTTAAACTCTAAAGTGGAGGTCTTTCAAGTTTTAAAAGTTATACTGTAGAGGAGGCTGACTTATATGCTGGTTCATCTTTTGAGTTAAGGCAAATCACAGAGAAGAATAATGAATGCTGAAATCTAGGGAATAAAGTGCTAATGTAATGGTTATGAAAGAAGAGCTCAGTTAATATTCTCTTTCTCTGCAATAACATATTTTGCAGGTACTTTTTATGTGTATATATAGTAACAGATGCTAAATTGGTGAGCCACTTTGAATATATGTTAAATGACACTAGTAAAGTAGTCCCTATTACTAGAATTGATTGGATCCCATTATGTTTTAATGCCTCCCTAATTTAAAGCTCTAAAACAGGTAATACATCTTGTCAGGTGCCCCTGGCATACCAATGCCTGCTGAACGTGGAATAGTCCCGCACTATTAATCAACAGGCCAACTTATCATTTTTGATTTTATAAAATTTTATAAAGTTTCAAACAACACTTTTCATCTCTGTAGCCTAAAAATGTTTATGATCATTTTAACCACATGTGTACCATTTTACAGAATATACACTATTGTGATTACATGTGGGCAGTTTCCTACTGCCTATACCCCAAGGTGGGAGCAGAGCCATGGACAACCTGAAACAGTCTTCAAGCTCTTTTAATGCTCATCCAAATCAATGGTGTTTGACCTGAGATGCACTTTGTTAACCTCTTCCTACCTACATTTGGCTTAGGCCAATATTAAATTACTTAATGGCCCAAAGCTTGCCAAATGTCAGGGATAAGGATGCTTGGAATTAAAAGTGGGGAATTGATTAGAGGTAATTGAAAGTCTACCACTTAAAATATGCAGTTTACAACTTAAAATATGCTTATTGACCCATCATTAGTAGCATTCTCTATGAATCGTATACAGGAAACTGCTGTTTCTTCAATGGATTTTGACCAGCCACCGAGATTTCCAGCAAAGTAAGGCAAGATGCTAGCCGAAAGCTGGTTAAAATAAGACACCTGTTTCAAAAAGAAAATATAAGATTTTAATTTGTTATTGACATGGAGCTTTTTCAAGCAGAGGACTGAGTCTTGTTGGTATAGGGGAAGCTGTAGCCCTTCTCTCTTGGGGACCTTCTGTAACAGGTTTGAAAGGATGACCTTAGTATTCCCCTGGTGTGGACACACGTTGCAGATTTACAATTAATTAGGAAATATGAGGAAATGATCTCTCATATCTGTAGGAGCAAATTAACATGTAGGTGTTTTATCAAACTTACAATGCATGAACTGCTGTCAATAGCATGGATGAGAAATCCGGCACATATGATTTCACTTCTGACATACTGCGGAGAAGGTGGGACAGATGGCAGGATGACCGACTTCACTGCCACCGTGTAAGTGTTACTGAAAGAAATGAAGAGTAGTTGTTAGAAAATTAATTCCTATAGTTGGGGATTTATTCGAAGACATTGCCTATGGCTACATTCAAGCCACGGTGATAAGGGCCACATGTGAACTCTGCCGAAGAATCCCACAAAGCCGGCATCAACTCCAAAATGGTTTTATTGTGCCCTGATGGGTTGTAATTTCACTCTTTTCTTAAAAAATAAAAAAAATAATGCTCATTGTATTAAAGAACTCCCAAATAATGGGGAACCGTACAGACTAGCATACAGGAGCTTTCCTTCAGTCCCCCCTAGTCACACTGCACCCCCACCCTCGAGGCCATCACTCTAAATTATAATTAATTTCTAAATTATAGAAAACAGCCCTGATTAGTTACTGGTGTTTCAAAAGCAAAATATTTACCAAATAAGACACACTTTCTCTTTCAATATCTGCAGAACTCAACAGTTCTAGTCTTACTAGAAGCTGTTCTTTCCTTTTCAGGGACAGAGGAAAACGTGACAGGATATGGCTCAACATCCCAAAGCCTAAACATGTTTATGATACTGTGGTGTGTATCCCTCCAGACCTTTTTATAAATATATGAGATTTACATAAATGATATAATCATTAAACAAATACTGGTCTATAATTTGATTCTTCACCTAATGATAAATCTTTGAAGGCGCCTCTCCAGTTACTTTATCCTTTTTTAATACTGGGATAGTACTGCACAGCATGGTTCTACCATAATTATAAGATGGAGCTTTGGTTTATTTCTAATATCTTTTTCCATAATAACTGATCCTACACTGAACACCCATGGGCATCCATCCTTATACATGTGCGGAATTATTTGTGCAGGCCAGCTTTGACATCAGAAAAGATGCCGGCCACTTCCAGGAGTGGGCCTTAACTGCCCTGGCAGTTTCCACTTCCTGTCCCCTTGAACACTTGCTCTTGGGCCCGTTCTCCTGGGAACTTAGTCAGGCTCGGAGAAGTCCAGTGCTCACAGCCGAGAAGCCCTGGGCAAACACTGACACAAACATGGACAGCCCCTACAGGCAGCTGCCATTTGGATGTCTAGCACAATCAAGGCTTCACGAATCCGAAACCAACTCCTGGTATTTTATTTGGCTTTTTTTTTAAACATTTTTTTACTACATTTTTACTGATGGTGGATTGTTTCAAAGTTTTGTTAAATATCAGTTTTACATCTGCATAAAGCAGAAGGAAAGGGGACTGCTTTAGGAATCTTGCATGGTGCTTTGCACACAGCTAGCACTTAATATATGATTTTTTGAGGGTTTTTTTTTTTGTGATAACTAAAAGTTTCACTGAGAAAAATTTTAGATGAGCATCATTCAAGACCAGAAATGCTTACATTGACTTCCTTATTTTCATATCAACTTTTTCTTTCCACTCTGTAACATTACCATAACACTTGAATTTCATTGAACTCACCTGTCCTTAAGAGGCCTCCTTCGTGATACAAGTACAACCAAGTCTTTGGGTTTGTCACCATTCACTGTAGGACAAGTGATATAACATATCTGATCATCTTCACTCACGCAGTCTATGACTTCACAGGACCTATGTGAACAGAACAATGAAAGAAAGGCTGTACTTTTCTACCTAATAGAATAAGGCATTCACTTCTTTTGTTTGTTTGTATAACTTCATTTTTGCTGTCTTCGCTCACCCTTCTGTCCACATAACCATCCCTCCAAAGTCATTTCCCAAAGCCTGTCTTTAGAAAGCTGTTTGGGCAGAAGAAATAATTCTGCATGTGACAGTGAGAATGGCGGCCGCCTAGTTCTAAGGTCACTGGCCTCAGCACCTCAGAGAAAAGCATTTAGCGGTTTTCCACAAAATTATTTTTCTGTGAGATCAATTAACAATATTTAAAGACTAGTGAATTATATGGACAGTCCAAGAACTCTTAGGTAAAGGAACATGGTTTATTAGAAAGAGCACTAAATTTGGAATCAAACAACTTGCCTGTAAATCCCAGATTGCCATTCGGTAGCTATTTATGTTAGGCAAGTCACTTTATTTTTTTCATCATACAATGTAGATAATAATACCTATGAGGTTATTGTAAGGATTAAATAAAAACACCTGACATAGTACCTGAATTGTAATAGATGCGTAAGAAAACAAGTTGGATTAGAATTCATTCACTCATTACGTCATTCATTCAAGTTCAGTTGGGCTAGGATGCCAGGTGGAATACAAAATAGTGGCAGAAATATTTGAAAAAAGTTAACACCACAGTTTAGGCACTGTTCTTACTAAAAGCTTTGTACTTATAGAGTATCTACAAATACTGATGTAAGAAAATCATGAAGTATTTCCTCTGCACTTGGAGTGTTTTATAATGATAGCATTAACCATGTTATATCACTCTGGCATCCATGCAAATGTAACCCAGAGGTGTTTCACTTTCATGGTATTAAATGGTCTATTACATGGTATTAATCATAATGAGGTTTGGTCCTATTAAAGATGAACCTCTACTTCCTCAACAGTAGGAAGTAAACAGTTACATTTACTATAGTAGGAAGCCCACCTTGCCAATCCTTTTCTTTCAGCAAGGTGTCCTAGAAGTGCTGATTGCGCCCAGGAGCTGGAACTCCTTGGAGAAGGTGGTGCGGCCTGAGTGTGGTCACTCCCTGTCAGTGCATTGACAAGGTGCACGGCTCCGGCTCCGTATTCCAGGGAAGGAGGGAGAGTGGGGGGACTGAATTAGGGATGCAGGAGACAGAGGTAAGAGACGGAGGCTGATAGGAGTGGCCTCTGATCAGACAGGGAGAGCAAGGAGAAATTCCTTTCGCCTCAGAACTCATACAGCCTCCTCCCAGCTTCTCACCAGGGAGCGCTGCTTCATCAAAAAGAAAAGGAGCCACCAAATAATAAATACCAAGAGTGGAAAATGAGAACATTTCGATAGTCATTTCCTCAAGAGCAAAGAGACTGTATCCAGGTACAAGAGTGTGGACCTGAGAGCCTGACAGGCCTGGGCCCCAGTTTGGGTTCTGTTGCTTTATTGCTGTACAATCTTGGTAACTGTTCTTGTTCAATGAAAATACTATCAAACTTGAAGAGTTATTAGTAGGATTACAATAGATGTGGGTAAAACATGTCAACTCAAGATGGATGATAAATAAGTGATTATAATATTTTTTTTTGTCTCTCAATAGCACTTCATGCAGTTTTCTGCGCCGAGCAAGCTTTAAAAAAATACACTTTAGTTAATAAAACAAGAGGTCCCATGCTGGGCAATGGAAGGGCACTGCAATGCAGAGGTCATCTTTCCCATGATGTCAGGGTCGATTAAGAAAATATTTTAAATTTATTCTTACACATAATGGGGGTCCCACAAAGGTCGCTTGGTAAAGTCCGACAAGAGATGATAAGCCAAGTGTGCTGGTTTTTCCATATGCTTTTCAACCCAAACAGATACAATGTCATGTTCTTCCAAAGTATATATTTTTATCTAAAAGATAATAACAAAAAAATACAAAAAAAGAAAAACGGTGTTTTTACTTAGAAAGAAACAGACCTGCAGACCCATCTGTGCAGTCAAGGCGCTGGCGCAGGCACCTTGGCACCCAGATAATGACGGCGGCCGTCTCGCCTCAAGGGCTTGGATGTCTGGAGCTCTGACTGGGGTGCCGTTCTCCAAACAACGTGTGACTTGAGAGGGGGTTATTTAATTATTTAATGTAATTATTGTGCAATTGTTTTTCTCATGAAAAATAAAAAATAGCCTTTCTCTGTTTATCTCTTTGTGATATTTCCCTGCCTCTATTCAGGAACAAAAGAAAGTGATCCTCAGACCCCTGGGCCTCATCTGCTCCCTAAGACCTGGAGCCAAGGCTGTAGCCTCGGCCACTTAGCCAAGATGTCAGCTGTGTCTTCTAGTGGGCAGGGATTTCCCCGGGCAGTAAACTGACCACCTCTAGAACCAACTTAACCTCTCAGTGGGGCTGCCAGGGCATCGTGTTCCTTCAGCACAAAGTGTTCTTTCCCTGTGAACCACAGGGCCTATCCTACCGGCAGGCCCATTCCTGGCTTTTCTAATGCTTATTATTCCCTTGATAAGGGAGGCCTGTCTTGGGGAGCCGTTTGACATATGCTGCGACATTAATGTATCTCTTGTCACTCTGAACTCTCTTTCTACTGTGCTTTTGCCAATAGGCAGCAATACGTATTTCGCTAAGAGCATGTTTCTCTCCTGCCTGTTTTAAATCTCCATCTCTTCCAGGGTGTTTTGAAGTCAGTGTTGAAATTTGCCATCTTATAATAATTCCCATGGCAACAAGCTGTGAGAAGACAAACAAACACAGGGTTAAGATTTCACTGCAGGAATCTAGCAGATGGGGAAATCAGGCTGTGAGGGAGAAAACCTTTATTCAAACATAAATATCTTTAAGAAGAGAATGAAGTAATGAGAAATTGACTGAAAGTGGCTTTGAAAGGAAAGAAGTGACTATTTTGCTTATGCCATTTTACCTCTCCAACTGACCACAGCGCTGAGTCTGTCTTTCAATAGAGCCCGCAAAGGAGGACGTGGTGCCAGCTCTGAGCACCTACCCAAAGGAACAGAAACCATGGCTAGGGTTCCCGTGGGAGGCTGAGACTCACCCAGCATGGGCATGCCTAACTTCGCCCCTTGTACAGCAGGAGTGGAAGAAGGTTCCTTGGTGTAAGTCCAGAGTGAAGTCACCCTATCAAAGTGACTCTAATCCAAGAGGCTGGGGCTCTGCAGTCTCAGAGGGGGTGAGGGCAGGTGCCCGACTTCCTCACCCTCCATCGGGGTCTGGCCTTGGGGCAGTCATGCTCTACCCTGGGGGAGCTGGGCTGGACTGGGATCGAATACTGGGCCTAGCACATAAGGGTTAAATTGTGTCCTCCCCAAATTTGCTAAAATCCTCAGCACCAGGGCCTCAGAATGTGACCTTATCTGGAATCAGGTCATTGCAGATGTAGCTAATTAAGACAAAGTTATACTGCAGTAGAATGGACCCCTTATTCCATATAACCTGTGTCCTTATAAAAAGGGGAAATTTGCACACAGGCGTGAGCACTGGGAGAACAGTGCATGAAAACAAAGGCAGAGACACATGCCAAGGAATGCCAAAGATTGCCAGCAAACCACCAGGAGCTGGGAGAGAGGCCTGGAATGGATTCTCCCTCACTCCTTCAGAAGGAGTCAACCCGGCCAACACCTTGGTCTTAGGCTTCTAGCTTCCATCCCTGCGAGACAATACATTTCTGTTGGTGAAGCACCCAGCCTGTGGTAAATGTTTCAGCAGGTCTGGGGAACTACCACAGCACTTTTCCAGGAAGCTGCTCCCCAGGTGCAGGTACAATGCCGCTACTTCCCACCCTAGAGCCAAAGCGAACAGCGGTCCAAGCAGTCACCATTAAATCCCGCCCTTACGGACCTCTCCAGACTTACCCCCTGAGTGCCGAGTACAGTTGGCCTGAGTGAACGATACTTTGACCCTTCCCCTAGAAGGCAAGGGCAGCAGGAAATCCTCCTGCTGCTCCACTGTCAGAAGCCATGGCATTGAAGCAGATGAAGCAGACAAGGAGAAGCAGTGATTGATGTTGGCTCTCTTTAAACCCTACTATTTTAGAAAGGCCAACTTTTGCCTAGTGAGAAAATTCTCCAAGACCAGCTCTCCAAGAAAGCAAGTTCCCTTTCCTGTTCAGAAGACTACAGGTTACATTCCACTTGCAACCAACTCAAACATTTCACCATTTGGTACCTGGAGAATTTTATTCTATGAAATGAAGTTTAAAGTAAGTAGGCTCAAAATCTGTTGGAACTTGCTAATAATTTATTAATGGCATTTTTTTCATACAAATAAGATTCTATTTAATGGGTCTGGACGTCTTATATAAATAGCACAAGAGAAACAAACTCAAAATTTTAGCATTTTATACTACCTGTTGATAAATATGTTACAGAGACAGCATTGTGAGAAGGACAAAACTGGTTTTTCCAGAGGCCTGGGAAGAGGGTAGCTAACTTTCCTTGGCAGTGCCTGGGGATTGCACTCGGGGGCAAGGGGAGGCGATTTGGTCAGGTGAAGCTCTCAGACCAGCCCCTCCCTAGCCTCAATGAGAATAGCTCCCTCTGGTATCCTTCCTGTAGTGGATTTTGTCCTGGGCAAAGGTTTTCAAGTGCTCCTTGTCATTCTGACTTTCACCGTAACTTTTCTAGTACAACCTCAGCTGCTCCCTAAATAAGAAGCTACTCCTGTCCAGCCAGTCTCCTACCCATGCTAATTTCCACCATGAGGATCTGGCTCAAGTTACTCACTGCCTAGAAAGCTCCCTTTACCCCTCCAGCAATCTACTTACACTCTCTCTAAGGAGAAAAGAATCACCCCTCCCTCTAAGTAACTGTCCTTTTTACTTTGAATTGCCTCAAGAGCTGATCTTTACAGATTAAACACTATAATCTTTCACTTGTTTATAAACTACCTTCAAATGATTCCTCAGCTGTTTCCTGTATATATGTGATGTTTCCAAAATAGACTATGAACTCCTTTCAGATGGGAGTATATCCTTTGTTCCCTGTATTATGACTATTATTAATTCTATTATTACACATTGAAAGTAAAGGTTAAAACAGTAAATATTGCCCAATTTCATTACAAATGCCAGAAAACTTAGACTTTTGCCATTTAACAAATTTTTATTGAAAATAGGTGAAGATTTTAAACCCCAAAATAAGTATGATTCTTAACAGATAGTTGTGTTGCAAGAATTATTCAACTGAAAGATGACGGAAAAAAAATGAGAGCTATATTTTAAAATTAAAAGAATATAGAAACTTTAAAAAGTAGGAGAGAAGGGATAACTCAGAAAGAAAAAAATATCAGATTTTTATCATAAATGCAATCTAAAAAAATGGAGGGCTTCTAATGAAACAGATAACATAAGAATGTTCCTTTATATAATATCCTCTAGTAAATATCTTGACAAAAATTAAAAATTAATTATTGATGACTGTCCTTAGATACTAGCAAATATACCATTTGTTTGTTTAGCTTTGCTTCTGGCCCCAAACTCCCAAAGAATTGGAGTTTATTGTATTTTATGACTTCACTAAATATCTTTTCTTCCTTCATTCCACACACGGCTTTTTCCTTTCCAATGCTGCTAATGAATAGTCAGATTCCAGCAATGATGCAAGAAGCAGATGTTGTATTTGTAAAAGAAAACAAAGTCTTACAGCATCTTTTATGAGAAACAAGGAAAAAAAAAACAAAACTTTGCTATGTTAAACCCAGGTTTCTGCATCACTGAACCAAGTAGAGTTGGAAACCTAACTCGATCCAAAGGGAGTAAGGAAGACCCTGAAAGGACTCGGAAGTGAGAACAAAGACATAATAAAACCCAGCAACCCACAACAAAACATACAAAGGAGGTCGAAGTCAGAGCTGAAAAAGAGCAATGAAGTAGTGTCGGAGTTTGCTTTGATTTCAGGGTGAGTGACCATATAATTTATTTTCTGAACTGGAACACGGAGACACTGTGAGTAGTGATGATGGGACAACCAGAACTGCCTCAGGAAAACCGGAACACAGGGTCACCTGAATTTAGAGGCTACTGCTTCACTGAGGACGAAAACTGCGCGCACTGAAACATGAGTGCCAAGGGGGTGTTGCTGAGCGTCTCCTGAGAACCAGCCTCTACTATGTTCTGAGGCTGTAACGATGAGCAAAACGGTCCTCGGAGAGCTCACAGCCAAGCTAGTGTGGGCACCCTGTCCAAAGCGTCTCCTAATATGCCTCTGACCAAATGACACGTGTTTATTAAAATTTGACGACACACAAAATATGGTAAAAGGTGTTAAAAGAGATACCAAGAAAACAGGCTTCTTTCTTAAAAAGTTTATAATCTAGTCCAGGGAAAAGACAACACGTAAGTTCTATTGCTACTAGGACTTAATCAATTCAATGTATCTGTGGAAGAAATGTCACAAGATAGTGCATAATTAATTGACTAATTTTAAGGAAGTAATTGCTAATGGGGTTCCTGGAAAAGTTCTTTCAGTCAGGGGTGACAGGAGTGGCTTCATGGAGAAGCATTTGTCCTAGGCCTTGAAGACCAGATAGGATCTGGGCCGATGGAGAGGTGGGACAAGAGAACTAAGCTGAGGGGTGAGAGCGTGTGGGGTGTGTCCGAAGGACCCCAAATCGGCCAGCATGGAGTAGCAGACACAGGGCTGAAAAGAGGCTTAACTTTCAGAAATAGCTTTCCAAAAAGATTTTTTACCTTCTTAAAAGCATCAGTATAAACAGAACCACCAGCACCATGAAAATTTTTTAACTGTTTAATTGAATTTATTGGGGTGATGTTGATTAATAAAATTCTGTATAATGTGTAATTCTGTATGATGTATAATTCTGTAATACATCATCTGACAATTTTTGTTAGTGACGTACAATGAGCTGTTTGTGCATACGCCTGGATGCCCCCTACCTTCTCCAGAGCACTGGTCACCTTCCAGCCACTTTTGGCCGCCAGTTTTTTGAAAGCCTCCACATTGCCATTACTCAGAGATTCCTAAAAAGCAAATATTTAAAACGCTGTGAGTTCAATACACAGATATGTGATTAAATATTTTCTGCTTAGAAATTGGGCACTGTTAGAGGCAAAGTGATAATGTTGAGCTTAGAACTATGCTACAGGTAACAATTTCTGTTTCAAACTCTTAATGAAGAATTCAGACAAGGTAAAAGGAGGCCTGTAAGCTTAGCACATTAATATCACTTTAATTGGTGTTCTGAGCAAAGACAAGATTGCCCTTCAGTATGATTTTTTAAGTAAACTTGGATTTCCCTTTGTATTTTATGGCCAAAAACATTAAAACAACTAATATTTTGTTATTGTGTTATAAAAATGCGAGCTGGTGGACAGGTTATTCAGCAAAAATGGTGCTAAGACACCAGATCTCAGCATCCCATGCTGCTTAAACGCATGTGATGGCAGAGAATCCTGAGTCTGTAATTTGGGAACCATACCTATTATTAAAACAAGAGGTGACCTGCTACTGATAGTTTGGTTTTGTTTCATATTGGGGTGACCTGTTGCTATAATTCACCTTTTCATCTAACCTGTGTAGGCACAACCTGAATCAGTTAAATGAGAGAATTTTCATTTTTGTAATAATGTGATTTTTACAAGAAGAGCTCCAAATTGTAAAACTGTCACCTGGTTGCTAACATCCCAGTGTACACAAAGTGGAACCTCTTCTTTGTGGGAAATAACGTATTTCCTGGAAAGAAATTAAAATGTTAAATAACAGTTTTCTTCCCTGCATTTAGCACACAACAGTAACTATGACACTTTCTTGAACCGAAATCAGCAGTTTTAAAAGCTGCTTTTGCTGGTGGAACAATCAGGAAGAACAATTTCCATCACTGTAGACTCTACAGTCAGAAAACCTCAGACCTTTTCTTCTTACATTACCTGGGAATAGAGACCCAGAGAGTGACTCTGTTATGTAATTTGTCATGTAAGATCTTACACCATAAAAATCCTTACACCTGGGTCCCTTACCTGCCTAGGCGAATTCTCTTGCGTGCAAGAGCACCATGATACCGTCTGAAATCATCCTTTAATAAAAAACACAAAGTAAAATCAAGAAATTTGTAATATTTTAGTGCTAAAATTTTAAGTTTCCCTCTCCTAAGTCAGTTGAAAAGGCTAACTGGGACCCGGTGTCTCTGCGTGAATGCTCCTCAGGTGAGTGTCAGCAATGGGACAACTGCAGGTGGTTGGGTGAATGCGGAGCAGCAGAGAGAACTGGAGGTAAGGTGGGAGAACAGTCAGAAACGGGCTAGGAAGAGATCATGCTTCCAACAGCAGCACCTGGCCCAGCTGAGGTGAGGCCTTCAGGGACCACCACCCGGCCCCTCCCCGAGAGAGCACAGGGGAAACACCTCGATTCCATCTTGACTGAAAGAACTCCATCTTGGAGGCCTGACTATGACTCCTCGCTTTCAGTAAAATTCTATAGTTTAAATGAACTTAGTCACATCCTGAAAGGGAAGAATGCACAATGATAACATCCTTTTCAAGATGCTCTGCAAAATAGTTGTTTTGTCAGTTGTATGGTAACTGGAATATTTGTGCAAGCATTATTTTCTAGGCCCTTTGAGCTGTCCACTGACCACGGAAAATATCTGTGACTGTCGATGACCATGGAGCAGCTGACCTCACCCTCCTTCCCAAGCCCTACCCCACCGCACGGCCCTACTGTAAGCCAACCACGGGGACCCTTCCGGGAGCTCTGCTTCACTTTTCTGGCCGGCTGCGTCGTGTACAAGCTCTTTTAAATAAACTCTATCTGCTTGATCTTGCATTGAGTTCAGTGCTCATTTCTATGACCTTGAGACTCAAGAACCTGGCACTTAAGGTTCGGTGACACCATCATTTCAATAAATGACCAGAGTGATTTGGTAAAAAAGAACAAGTCTATTGTGCTAATAACTCACCTTTGACACGGGTTTGATTCTGGGAAATGTGACTAGTTCTTCCTTATCATCCACAGCATTATAAATGAGAAAAGCACTATTGATATGGCGGCCGGGGCCCGCGGACCACTCCTGGCAGTCAAAGGCCTCCACACGCACTCCCACTTCGACACTGCAGAGGACGACACAGGGCGGTGGGCGAAGAAACAGAGCGCGCTGGGCCTTCTCTACTCGCCACCCCACCACCTCTTCCCCGCAAAGAAGAGAAGGTAGGTCCTGGGTTTTTCATTGTCTGCAAATCTATGCAACTGTTAAAATCCATTTCTGCAGGTCAATAGATATGATGTGCAAGCTCCCGAGAGCATTTCCACTTTACCTTCCCAGTTTCAAGTGGGAAAAAGGCCAGCTGTGATTTTTATATACATATATGTAAGTATATATATATATGTGTGTGTGTTTGTGTGTGTATACATATGTATATAACATATACATATTCATAGACATATTTTGGTAATAAGAGGGGAGTTTAAATTGTACCAAAGTAAAGTTTTCTCCCCTCAAAACAGTTCTATAATTAAAAAGCATCAAACACTAAAGTTAGACAAGAAATACAAATATTCTTTTTCACATTTAAAAGAAAAAATACTAAAGTAAATATTTTCATTGTATATCAAGAGTAATAAAAATAACTAGAAAGTGGTTTGAACCTCATGGTGATAAATGATAGGTCCATTATGAACTGTGGGCCACACAACCACTGGGACTCTTCTCAGAATGAAGAGTCATTACAACAGGTGTAAATCAGGACGGTCCTGGGTCAGCTGGAACATACAGTCACCCTTATGATGAGAGACAAAAACCAGTCTATCATAATTTACTCAGTATATGGAGGCCTCAAGCAGAATACAGGCTTCAAATGTGTGACTACGAATTTTGAAGATTGAGTGAAGTTTCAAAAACAAAAATAGAAGGAACTTGGTCAATTGAAAATAGTTCCTATAGTCGCCTCCAGATTGAAATAAAAATTTAAAAACATGTTAATGTGCAAGTTTGAATTTGTTTGTAGCCTCCGGAGAGCACCAGACACGCTTTACCAGGTCTCGAATGTGTTGTTGACAGTGGCGTTGAAGACAAGACGGTCTCCGACGGTAGATGGCCCTCGGAACTTAAACATGTCCACGGACTTCAGCAGCGGATGCGCTCGACAGAGGCGGCTGATGAAACAAAGAGGAGTGAGACAAGAAACGGATCATCCTCCGAAATATTTTCAGGAACTGCTGATTCGCCTAACAGGCGCCAAAGACCAGTGTCCAATGTATTTTCTAAGTAAATGCCTTTGAACCCTAGGGAAGTAAATGGCTGAATCGTGTGTGTTGACAGTGGTTCTGTACGTGACCTGCAAATAACTGGGGAAATACCATGTCCCCAAGCTGGGAGCTGTTTACCGGGATGCTGGTGTTTCTGCTCCTGTGGTGACAGTCATGCTCTTGTTTTGTTCCCCATGGAAGTCCCTCCAAAAAACGATGCCTTTCATTCTAATTTGAGGGTTATATTCATCCCGGAAGCTCCTGATTACAATCGCAGGAAGTAGCCACTCCCAGGGGGGAGTGGGCACCCTGAGGGCACCTGCTGGCTGCTGCCATTCACACCAGTTCCTTAGCTTCACAGTTACCTGGTTCACCCACATAGCACAGGACTAACTTCCCCCCACAGAAAAATCACCTAGATTGCTACACAAAGCTTGAAAGGCCATAAGGTATGCATTTTACAATTTTTGCATGTGTGAACTTTTGAAATATCTATAAAGAATATTTGATCTCAGAAAGTTACCTCCATTATTTCCTACATTTTAGATTCCCACTGTAGTCATTCAATTATGCTAAAGAATTGTGCCAACACTCAGAGAACAGATTCTGCCACAGTTAATTATATTGTAAGCTTTTACAGCAGAACAGGTTCAAATGCTTTATTGGCATTAAGAGTGACAATCTCATTTTAAAAACAAGCTCTCTTTTATTTGCGCATAATTTATAGAAAGGATAACTACAGGCTTCTAACTATAGTTATAACTACAGGCATACTAATAAAATTCTCAGAGTTTTGGGGAAATAAAACCTTAGCAGGTTTCAGTGGTTACAAAAATTGTCAGAAGGGCAAGTCTTGTTCAAGTGCATTTTCAGAGTACACATGTTCTTTAAAGCTACTCAATTACCTCCATGTTCTACTACGAATAAAATAAACTTCGAAACTGAGGCACATTTCGAAGTATTCTTCCAAGTTGTTCCCTTTCTCCTCTTATTTTTCAGTTAATCCTTGGGCCATAATGACTAACAAATCTTTGAAGGTCAGCCTTAATTTTAAACTGCCTTTTCTAAAGTTTGTAATGACTATTTTCAAGTGTAGAGGCTGTCTTCTATTCCTCCTCTGCGTCTATTGCTACTTTGTCACAACTATCATTACAAGGAGTTGCAATGGCACAAGAGCAACGTTCCTAATTCAGAATAAAGTATGAGAATTATCATTTCATTTTTATTTTTGAACCAAGAACTTAAAGGTTTATTTTCAAACAAAAGAACAAGTTAACCCAACGGTAAACAGATAAATGACTTATCATTTTCTCATTTTGGTAAAAGACAACATTGTCATCTCTTGTCTCCCTGATTTGCCTAATAACTAGGTCTCAGACCATTTCTACTCTTGCACCACTGGTCCCAACATTACATGCCGTAAGGTCAAAACCAAGAACCTTGCAGAAATAGTAGCCACCGTCTCCATCCAAGCCATAATCTGGCCACCAAATGTATCTCCATGATGGTTTGCATGCGGGGGGAGGACAAGTTCAATGCTCTGAACAGAGGTGTCCATGGTGGAAACTGTTCCTTCCTCTTCATCGAAAATGAGATCTGAAAGGTAGATGTAAACATTAATGATGGCAGAGTTCATCACAGGACTTGAGAGGTACAGCCTTTCCTTCCTGGCAGCACTCACAAGCCACGAGTTTTTAGAAAAATTAAATTATTCCCAAAGACTTAAAACTCTTGATGAAATAAATAAGCTTTATTCTACACAGTGACTTGCATCTGAATGGGGGATATTTACAGTGTTTCGGATAAAAGTCAGGAAGGATCTTTTAAAGAATATATTCCAACCTACCTTACAAGTCCACAGGAATTTTTGATTAAAAATGATTAAACTTGAGTTGTTTGGGGTGGAGGAGGAAAAGGTCAGGGCAGGAAAGGGCAAGAAGAAATTTGGTGATTGATGGATATGTCATTGTCTTGATTGGGGTGATCAGGCTTCATGGGCGTATACATGTCTCAAAACTTATCAAACTGTATTGGGGTGATCACTTCATAATGTATATAAATGTCTAATCACTATGTTGTACACCTGAAACAAATATAATATTGTATATCCACTGTAATTGAAAAATAAATTTAAAAACTGCAAAAAATTTATCAACTTATCTATAAAGTTGTTAAAAATAATGAACCTGGAGCTATAAAGGGCCACAGACACCAAGGATGTGGAATAGTGTGATGTACTATGTAAGCTTCAGGACAGAATGTGGCCTCCCCCGGCTGCTGTTTTGTAATGAATGCCATCGCCAACGGAAAAGGCACAATGCATCGTACATCTCAGTGTCCTTCTGCTTCTTTTGAATCATATCTGCTTCATTTACTGACAAATTGGTTTTTACTCTCAACAATGGAGAAATCATTTACTTTGGCTGCAAAGCAGTAAATGTGTTCAATTTTGCTTCCTGCATCATCAAGCAAATCAGCAGCGAGGCTTAAATCTCACTTGCTCTTGTTGAGGTAGTGGGGGGAGACTTCCAAACCAGGGGGTCCCACCCTGGTTGGACAGTCAGAGCAGAGCTTGCCGTGGGAAGACAGATGTGCCTCACTGCTGCTGGGAACTGGGATTGAAGCCATTGGCGAGGTCACATATACGTGAGCAGTGGTTATAGAGACTTTTAAACTCCATTTCTTAATGGAGTTTTAAAATTTATTTTTAATTGATGGTCTTTTTTCTTTTATTTTTCCCCCTTCATTCCACTGATCATTTCAGTCACCTGCTCAAAAACATGTCCGTAACATCCCATTGTCCTGGTATAAAATCCTTCCCGTCACCCTATGCCCTTCCTTCCGGGTCTGGCTTAAGCCTACCTCTCCAGCCCCAGCTGGTCCACTTACCACCGCACCTCTCCCTCCTCCGTCACGTTCTCTCTCTCAGTTTCTCCCTCTCTTTGTTCCACCCACAGTGCCTCTTTTCAGTTCATGCAACTGCTGCCTTGAGCGTCAGGCCATTTGCACATGTCGGTCCCTGTTTCAGTGGCAGCTGCCCTAGCCGCCACCGCCACCTTCTTTCACTTACCTCATGCTCTCTCTTGGGCCATCACAGTCATGATTCTCTCAGGAAAGCCTGACCTCCACAGCTAATCCCCAGTTTTAGGAGCTCCTGCATGTCCTTTTCTTCTATCGTTACAGTTTTATGTTTATTTGTGTGACTTGTGATTATCTGACTCTCTAGATCCTAAGCTCCTTTCAGTAGACGATTTAAAAAATCTAAGGTAATTTATCTTAGATAAATTCTAAGATAATTCCTGAGCATGGGTGCTCAGTAAATATCTGTTGAATGAAGAGCTGAATAAATTTAACTTGGCCAATTATTCCACATTCGTAGTCCGTATTATCAACAGAATAGTTTGAAGTAACAAAATAATTGGACTGAATCATACTTCTGCCTGTGATTTATGAGTTCCGCTGCTCCCCGTTTTCACTTAAACAGGATTGTAGATACTTCAATTTTTTCCCCAGTTTTTTGGACATGAAGTAGTATCTCCTGTTGATCATAATTTTAATTTCTCTGATTAATAATGAGATCCGACATCTTTTCATGTGTAAATTCAATTTTCTTATTACCTCTTAATGAGGTTACCTCTTAAATTTCTATGGCATTTGCTTCACATGTTACTTTTCTCCCATTCATTTTACCCTCTACTTCTGGAAGTTTGATTTGATGCTTGTTAGATTTCTTACTCCATTTGCTATGTCTTCTAACCTCTCTTATATAGTTGCTGTTTTTTCCTATCCATCTGCATTCTTGGTAAATCTTTCAGATCTATATTCCAGTTTGCTGCCTTTTCTGTTGTTTAATTCATTCATTGAATTTTATATTTTAATTATTATGTATCCTTTTTGTATAGAAATTCTCTTTGTTTCTTTGTCAAATCTTCTAGGTCATTTTCTTGTTTCTGCAAAATACTTTCTACACTCTTTTAGTTCTTCAAATATATTAACATATTTACTTCATATTCTTTATATAATCAATTCAGTATCTGTCATCTGTGGAGCCTCATTCTATTACCTGGTGCTTCGTCCGGATTTTGGTGACTTATTCATTTTTGTCTTGTATGATTTTTGACGAGAAGCTCATATTCCCTGGATTCTATGTGTGGAGATTTTTGAGCGCTGGGTTTAAAGTCATCTCTGAGCAGAGGACGTGCCTCTGCAGCGCAGCTGGGGACACTGCAACACAATGCTATTTCACACTTGGTCTGTTTCAGGCCAAAAACGTAATGTGAATTCTGACACCGATTCTGCATGAGAATGTGCTTCTGGCTGCATTCGCAAAGGGAAATAGCCTTTTTTCACTGCTCCTAGATCAAGACTGAGACAGGAAGTCATGCCTAACAGAGCTCACCCAAGCTTGGGATTTTTCCAGTTGACTCATTGAGGGTATCACATTTTGGGTGTTGCAGCTCCAGGTAAGGTTCCCTGATCCAACCGTCCGCCTAAATATGGGTCCGAGCTTGGCCTCCGGGCCCTTGCAAACCCATTAAAACACAAGCTCTAGGTCTCAGCACTTACAGGGCTCTCCCAACGCAAATGCCAGCCCTTTTGCAGTTGTCTCCTTACATGCTGCAGCTGTGCTTTCTAATCATTTCTAGACTTCGAGGTTTTCTCCCATTTTTCTGCCAGATGAGATGCCTTTGCAAAGATATTTGAAAGTATTTTACCCAGGAATTTTAGTTTTTTCCAGACACCAAGTCCACCATATCACTGTAATCAGTATTGGGTTGCTTCCTAAGGCAATCTTTAAAAGGCATATGAAATCTTAAACCCTTTCCAACTTCTCTTTCTCTTTTTTGACTACTAATCTTATTAAATAATGTCCTATATAAAGATCCAAAACTAGTATTGACTGAGGTATTCGTAGGTTCATTTTTCTTACTCAAATGGTACATTTTTGTTCAAAATAAATTAATATAAACCATCTCTAAAATATGTTGGTAAATGAAAAAGAGAATGGTGAATAATTGTTTGAATATTGTGCTACCAATATGTGCTAGTGTGCTGTGTGTATGTGTGTAACAGTGGCTGTGTCTGAGGAAGGGAGTTGAGTAACTGGGAAACACAGATCATAGGAAAATTTACCTTCTAGCTAAATGCTTTTTTATACCCTTTGAATTTTTCACCCTGTGCCTGTGTACCATCTATTTTTAAGCAATTGAAAAATTATTATAAAGTAAAAAATTAATTAAGAGAGGGCCTTATAATGTGAGAGACATTGTAAACACATATAATGCTATTCCTTCTTTTCTGAGGAACAGCTTTTTTAAAAACCTACTTGATTCCTATAAAGACATACATAGCATACATTGGGACAAGAAGTGGGTACTTGGACCGGTCGTATATGCCTAAGCATCAGCTATGATGTGTATGTGGAAATATACTGAGTATAAGTTACTTCAGTGCAAAAGCATGCTTATTTGCAGATAATTACTGATCAAGAGAGAAATAGGGCTCTCCCAGGTACAAGGACACTGGTGCTGGCAGTGTACACAAGTTAGGTGCAGTAAGCAGACCTCATCCTTTCCACAAGCTTCCAAATACAGTCATACTCTCCCAGTGATCTATTTCAATACTTGTACTTTGGATGTTCATTAAGTATTGTGTCATCATTCTACTTGGACAATCTTACATTCATTCCATGTTTTCAGGTCATTCTAGCCCTGGCTTTCTTTCCCATACCAGAAATGATCAACACAGGACAATGCTCACAGAAATTTTATTTCTTACTAAAATATTATAATGAAAATGCTACAAATCTTTAAAAAGATTTAAATTTTTCCCTGCACGCCTAGCTTCCGCAACCAGTAGTACAATAGCACATTCCAAAACAGTGTTCCTTTGGCATAATCTAATCTCACCCTTTCCCCTTCTGAAACAGCATGATTCGGGTTCAACTTTATCACTGTTCTAGTGCTATGCTTTCAATCATACAACATCTTGGAAAGATTCCAATCTTTTCTGTCTGCTATTACAACCAATGTAGAACTCAGGTTTTTCTAAAAACATACTTCAATAACATGATGATCTAGCTGTCTTCCTTTTGAACATTATGTTCTATCTGAAACAAACGCCATCAGATCCACAGGGCAGCAGCTGGACAGGCCACGTGCTCTTTGGCAACTTCAAGTTCTAGAGTCTGGCTCTTACTGAGTATATGCTTAAGAAAAATTGCGTTTAAGTTCTGTGGTACCTTTGGTGGTGCGAAAGCTAGTAAAATTTCTAAAAAGAAAATCAAATCAATGAAATTAGGTAAAAGTATTGCACAAAGGAATGTAGAATAATCTGTTTTAGGGCAGATTAGATGATTTAGAAAAAGACACATAAATCTATAATTCTAAATTGAACCAGACATATAGATCTGATACGCCCAACTTTCTAACAAACTAAAACTAAAGTCAATGGTAATCATTCTACCTCCACATTTGAATGACTGTAGCACGTGCCTGTATTAATTAATTCAGCATGTCTCTAGTACTCAAAGTACTGTTGGTGTTGTGGAGACAGGCGGAGAAAATTGTGTGCTACTGATTTTGTTTATTAGAACAACCTGAATAACACCAGAAGTCAATGCAGCTGAGTTCACCTGGTTCACGTGGTGGGTGAAGGAGACTTAGGTCACCAGACCCTGCGACCCTTCGCAATAGATGCATTAATGAGAAAGGTCAGTGTAGCAGAGATCACTGTAAATGTCTCCGAAGACTAAGACATAACAATTTCCAGGTGTTTTAAGTACAGGTTTGATAACAATGATCTCTTTCTCTTATAATCAACCTCTCCCTCAGTAATGATTTTTATGATCAGCCATGATCAGCTTATAACCATGACCAGTTATTTCCTATCCTGAAAAGTAATGGCCCTTGACCTTGAGAGCCCCCTCTAGCTCCAGGCTGTTTTTTCCACCCTTTACAGCTAAGTTCCTTGAAAAGACAGTCTTCAACTGTTGCTCCAGTCCTACGCATGAACGGGGACCTCTCAAATAACAATAGCAATTACACATTTTCCATATGCCTGACACTGTTCTCAAGAATCTATCCATATTAATTTATTTAATCCTCATACCTACCTATCATATAAATGCTTTTATTTTTCCCATTTTGCAGTTTTTCTTATTTTTAACCTTGCTTCAGTGAGCTGGGAGAAATAGAGCAAAGCCAGTGGTTTGAATATGGGCAACAAATGCTGAGATAAGAAAATGAAAAAAGCAACTTTCTGCTGGCCAGAGACCACTGGTTTCAGGAGGGAGTAGGTGAGTCAATGAGTAGGCCAAGTTCTAGTGATGCAGCTTTAGGAGTCAGTAAACCACGGGAGGAAGTGGCTATGTTGGCTGCCGGCACCTTAGGGGTGAGTGGGCCAACAAAAAGGCCCCTGCTTCCTGTGGAGCTGGGTCAGAGACCAGAGAGGAGCACCACCTCCCAATCCCCCATGATGGCTGGCCTGCAGGAAAACACCATGAGAAAATTGAGTGTCTGTCAAATGCCAGTGCTATTGTGGGATATTTCTTACTGGTTTGAATGACACTTTGAGATCTAATTCAATGTGCCAGTTTCCCCTGAAAGCAGACATTCTGGAATAGCCAAGCTGCTCTAAGAACTGATGTCCTGTATGTCCCTCATCGTCTGCATCTACTGCAAACAACAGTCAGGCGGAGCCTAGTGGCTCTGCTTCCTTCAGCATCCACTGCATCCTAACAAATGCGCTTTAACAAAGCCTAGAGTTAAGAGGGCTTAATGTGGGAGGCGAATATGGCATAAAGGTTATAGGAAGCTCCTTACATCCCCTGTACTCTACCTAATACAGGATCATCAGAATGCCCCCTTCCCACACTTACTTATTACACTATGCTTCCACTAACCATGTTCTTGCCGAAGTCACCAAAGACTTCGCAACTTGGAGGAAAGCTTCTATTCCTCAGCTCCTGGAACAGAGCTGATCACTCATCTCTTCATTGCACTCTACTGCCCTGACTTCTGACAGCGCTCTTTCCAGTTCTCCTTCACGCTTCCTTTGTAGATTCACCCTCTTCCCTTGATCATCTCTTCGACGGCCCAGTTCTGCAGGTTCCATTCTTGGCCCACTGCCATTGTGTCCCCATGAGCCCTCACAGGGTGACTGCAGGTACTATCTTCATTTGAATGAACATCTGTGAACTGCTGTTTCTCAAACTTAATCTCCCCAGACCCGGTCTCATTCTTTTGGTTGTGCCACAAGCTTGTCAGGTTAAACAAAACTCATTATCCGCCTCATCAAAACTGCCCCTCTATCCCTCATATTCATGATCTCAGTGCATAGCCACTGAGCATCTTCCATTAACCAACTGCTCACATCAGAAATATGAGCATTATCTTATACTCCTTCTTCTTCCTCACCCATCTCCCCACATCAGCGACCCTGCTCTGCTGGTTTTACCTCTTGTATTTTTTTAAAAACTCTTTCCCTCCTCTCTGTTCCTACTGTGACTGTCTGGTGCGGCCACTCCTCGCGTATTGCCTGGTCTCTAGCCTCGAGTCTCACCTCTTCAGAGTGATGCCGTCAAACGCAAGGCTAATTATGCAGCAACCCTGCTGAAAACCCTGCACTGGCCCTTATCAAGGACAGAAGGAAGGCCAAGCTTCTTAACATGGTCTGATGGAGCCTTCACGGCACAGTTCTATCTTTTTATGTCCACCTCCTTCTACCTTGAATTTTCTCTCTGGTAAATGCTCTTGTTCTCATGGTTCAGCTATCTGATTACTATAGCAAAATGCATTTAAAATATATTTTAGGACTAAGGTCATTTTGACAAAAGAAGACTCACTCTCCTCAGCACAGTAATTAAAAAATTAAGTCTTCATTTCCTTAAAAATAACTTGGTAATGGGTATTGTCTTTAGAAGGTCATCCATGAGGAGAAGCATTTGAAAAATGTGTTTCCAACTCAGACGCTGTCTGTGGGGTGGTCCCCCAGGGCCATGATGCTGTCACGTGGGACAGACTAAAGCGCTCAGATGTCAGGAACCCCTGACTCTGCCTTTCTTCTCTCCTCTGGCCTTTGTTTGCATGCACTCTTCCTCCTCCTCCTCCTTTTTTCACATTTTTATTCTGACCCTTCCTTGTTTTCTTTCCTTTGTCTTTTTCCTGTGTCTGCCCTCGGAGCCAAGGGGAGGGAGTTGTGTCTTCTGCGAGCCTCTTAGCAGTGGGGAGGGGGAGGGGCCGGGCTGGACCGCTCGCGTCCTCCTCTCATGCACTTCGCTCTCCACCACAGGCCATCTCCTCTGGGCAGCAGGAGATGGGGTAAGAGGAAGGGCAGGTGAGGGGCAAGGAGAGCCTGCTTTCCCTGCCATTCTGGCCCCACAAGTTCTCCAAGAGCCCGGGAAATCACTGCCAAAGAAGTGAGAAACTTTAACGTATCATAGTGTTACTGAGGGAGAGCAATTAGAGTAGAATCGTATCACTCCATTCATATCCCATGTAATCTCTGATAAGGTTCTCACTACTCAGAATTTGTTTCCTCCTCTGCTGAGATTATAAGCAGCTCATATGAAACAACAGACGAGAAACTGCTTAGTAAACTGTGAAGCACCAGATCAACGTACGGCTTTGCCATTCCTTCATTCATTCATCTATCACTACTGAGCGCACACTTACTAACAGGGACTGCCTGGTCCCCACTGCCCTTCTTTCACATCTCCTCCCCTGAAAATTCCCTGATTTAAAGAGGTCTTAGGTGTCAGCAGTTCTATTCTGAGTGGCCAGTATGTTCTTTCCCCAGCTACTGGGTTTGTTGGAAAAGCTCTCTAGTGTCATGAGGGCTGAACTGTAATAATAAGGTGAGAATAACTGCGCCCTTAGAAAGGACCCCTTCATTTGTCATAGCCATATAATTAAAGTTCCTATAAGTAGATTTACTGACCATCAAGCTTGCTACTTTCCTTCATCAGGTTTTTAAAGGTATCTTCATGTTGTAATCGAACTTTCCTTCTCTCAGAAGCCAGATTATATTCTACATGGTCTTGTTCAGTTAGAGGTGTGACTGGTTTTAAATGAATCTAGAGGAAAAAAAAATATCTTTCATTGCCTAGCTAAATCACAACATAAATTTTGCAAAAACAAATAATATGCTACATTGTTTTCTAATTCAAAGTAAGTAAACTATTTATGGGTGTTTTCACACACATTTAATTTTAACTAAAACTTTTCCTTAAAATATTTTTAAACTAAAATATGATCAATAGAGACAATTATTTCTTTGTACAGCATGAATCAAGGACCATGTAGAAAGGAGCCATGGCCAAAGCCAAAGTGGGGAAGGATTGAGGGTGGGGGGGAGGGGAACATGGCGGCAGGAAAATGGAGGCAAATGTATTAGAACAATAAAAAAATACACAGTATATAAGAGTATCTCCATTATTCTTACAACTTTGTAAAATTGTATATATAAAGGGTACATAAAAAAATCAATTGATATGTTATATAGTGATACTATGAGTGTTTTATACCTGTGTTCTTGTTTTTGTAATATGGTTTATGCACTGATAAGACTTCCGATAAAACACTGATAAAATAACCTTCTAAAAAAAAGAAAAACAAAACAAAAAAACAAAAAACCCCAGTTTTTTAAATATTAATTTTCCCTGATTATTAAAATTTTCAACAATACAAAATAAGAAATTCTTCAAATTAATGAATGGGGAGAGAGATTTTTGATGCCACTGAATTCTTGTCTAGATTTTTTTCCTACATTTTCCAGAATTAAGACATCAAAAGGATGGAATAAAGATGTTCTAGAGAAAGCTATCATGTATCAAGACATATTCCTAATTTGGAACTTTCATCACACGATGAAAACACTATCTAATAAGCAAACCGAAAGAATCAATGTTGTCAGAATAAAGCTTTAAACAACCTCCAGGAACCTGAAAATATGATGCAGTAGAACCGAGAGATCAAGCTCCTTCAGCAGTGCCTGCCTGCTGACCGGTGTGTATCAGGGAGAGGCCCCCTGCAGGTGGACTCCGGTAGCTCCCTGCTTATTTCTAGGCCACCAAAGGTTGGTGCTTAGCCACGGCCAAGATAAGGATGACATAGCTAGTGGTTTAATATCTGCTGCTTCAAGTCTAAAATTCCCTTGCACTGCCTTGTCTAACTTGTTGAGGAATGTGTAGACAGATAGTTTGCACTGGTTTATCGGCTTACACAGCCTTGTTTCAGTTGTGCAAACAGAGGGGTCACACCGTGTACACTAACGCCTTGGCCCTCCAATCTGGGGATAAAGTATATTCTGTGTGACTGAAGAGAACCCCATGAGCAATGCCTGTCAGTCTTAAACCTCTCTGATGTTTATCTGTGATTTCTTTCTCCTTAATGGTCATGGAGCCTTGTCTAAACATCCATGGAGACATCTTGTCCATGCCAAAAGGTCCTTGAAATTTGGTCCTGTCCAAAACATCTATGCTTAGAAAATCTCCCTGGGTTCTTTGAACCCAGGCTGGAGCCTATAATGTTTTCTTAGACTTTTGGTTTACAGAGTTAATAAATTAAAAATACTATTATGCTTTATTGGTCCAGCAATTGTGTAGTGGCTGTATTGTCGATAATAACCCATCCTGCCTTGATAGCCTAGCTGCTCATGGCACAAACATCAAGGAGCTTTTGGCATGGACCAAATGTCTCTCCTAGTGGATGCTTTGAAAAGGACCAAAGGTCCTACAAGTTCTTTCTCCTGCTGTACTGCCTCCTGTTAGCTCGGGTAGGCTTTGCATGAGCAGACTCTGTGGAGACTTATGAGTCATTTAATGATCTGGCCTGTGCAACTGTTGAACTGAACCCAGCTAACAATTGTCCATCCTGTGCTGGAATAAACTCACTTTGGACAGAGATCTAGGAAGGCCCCTCTCTTCAAAGCAAACCGCTGATTTTTCATGGCTCTCTTTATGATGTGCTAAACAAGAATGTTCAGCTGCAGAAGCTTGTTCAATTGAACAAGAGTGTTACCAACTGGAAAATAAATTAGTCTAGGAAACCATGTTTTATATTAAAGGTTATCTGAGCCAACGACCACTTATGGCAGCACCATAAGGCCCCTGACTTCCCAGAAATGTTTTGAGAAAAACAGTTCTTCAGTCTCAGCAGAGACTGAACTGGAGTGTAACTGTTACCTTCTTATCCCATGAGTCCCTGAAGCTGGAGTAAGAAGCCTAAAGCTGGAGGGAAAACGAAGGCCCTGTTTTTCTTCTCCATGTGAAGGAAGAGGGTGATGAGGTGGCTTCCTTCCTGTCGCTTGCTCTCAGATCTGGGAGCTCTGCACCCACCCTCACATTCTCTCATTCCCAAGAGTCTGGAGATTTATGGGGACTCCAGGGAAAACAGTGGTTGGCAAAATCTGTCTCAACGCCTTACATTTCAGTGAACATAGGATCCCTGGGATACTTTGTCAAAGTACAGATTCCAAGTTCCCATACGAGTGATTCTAATTAAGTAGGTCTGGGGTATGACCCAGAAAGCTATAATAGCTTATGTGAACTTCACTTTGAAAAACCATGCCTTTGGGCAATGCGAATTTGCTTGTGGCCTGTTTAATTTGGGCAGAGAGTAGGGGACGTGTCCCACTGTACAAAACTCTGCAGGGATGCCTGCTACCCAGGCACCATGGTGGGTGGACTCCGCCTGGCTCATCTCTGTGCCTCCTTGCTCAAGCGAGGCGTAGCTGGTGAGCACGGCTCTGTTGTTATTTCTAATGAGTAGAGTGAAAACATTGTTTTGTCCCACCTCTGAAGTCTGAGGCAGACTGAGAAGAACGTGTTGGCAGAGTGAGAAGTACTGCCTGTCACTTCAAAGTGGAGCTAGAAGAAGCCACTGTGCCCACTTCTGGAGCAATTTTCGCAGTGAAAGATTTAAATTCTAAATGGAGTTATTACGTTTAAAAATACTTAGACTAAATTGGGGCACTCCCTGAGGCACACTGACCCTAAAAAGGAAAGCCAAGAAGTTATAATGAATAACACACCAGAAAACTACGGGTAAGCTGTCCTGGGCCAATGGCCAGGCAAGTCTACTGGGCACATATTGTACATCAGGCCAATGTGTTTCTTTAAGGGTGTCTTTTCCCCATATGCCCTGAAGCTTATTTTTAAACTTCAGTAACTCAGCAACTTTGACTTTCTTCCTCCAGGTATAAAAAAATGATTGGACCATACCATGCAACTGCTTACTAAATTGCTCTTGCTTTAAAAAAATTTTTTTAAACCTCAATTTGGAGTTATATAACCCCAAAAGAAACGAACTAAAACAGTAAGCAATATTTTTGAGAAACTGATATGACCTTTAAGGCACAGTATTTTTATCCTCTTTCACAAACTGGCTACATCGTCTCTTCTCTAAATTACTTAATACTATGACATTACCACACAATGGTAACTTTCATGATGAATATTGATGAATAACAAATCTTGGCAATTTCCCATAGTAAGTTGAGGGTCCTTTTTTCAATAATCTTTTTGATTCAATTGTTAATATGTCCTTCACGCAAAAAATTTACCTTTTTATTTCCAACTGGTTTGGCTACAAACGTAGAGAAAGCCACACTGACAAGTTCCTCCACACCAGTGAGCATGTCCTGAACTGTGACCTTGATGCTGATCTATGTGGAAATACAATAAATAAGTAAACTTCCAGCCATCCCACTAACAGATGAGATTGTCGCATTCAAGCTTCAGTCATGCACTTTACCCTTTTCTTTTGGTTTTTGAATGAAACTGGCATTTTAACTTATTTTTTAAGCAATACTGTTGTTTTAATCATGTTCTATAAAGTTGGAAACAGAATTTTTTCTGATTATAGAAAGATATATATTTACCATGGGAAAACTAGTAAATATAAAAATCAATAAATGACAAAATTGGAATCTAACTGTCCAGAGGAAATATCAGTAATAGTAATGTCACCATTCAGATTAATAATTACTAATGTTTAGGTGAATTTTCTTTTAGTTACATAGAGATAACACACGTATGCGAAATATAAAATGTGTATTATTTATTCATATAAAAATATGAAACGTGTATACGTGCACACAAAATTATTGTACTCTATTTACAGTTTTATGTTATAATTTTTTTAGGTTGGGATTGTGTGACATGCATTTTCTGATTTCGTTATTAGCACAAACAGACAGAAAGAAGGAACCGGGCCTCTCACCTCCATGCTTGTGTTGAATGCTCTAGTAACTTTTGCTTTGATGGTTATAACTTGTCCAACTCTAGTAAAAAAAAAAAAAAAAAATCTCAGTCATGTTGTTGCCAATGAAAATGGGATCTTTGTGGTGTTGCAAGAAAAGAATTTCAAAGGGCATGTGTGTGATAAGATGTATGGGGCTGAGGGGAAATAATGCACCCACAGGGATACAGAGAGCAGGCAGGCTCTAGCAGCACCTGCCTGGAGATTCCTAATAATCTTCCATTTATTTTCTTTGTTTTCTGTAATGAGCAAGCTGTCATTGAAACCATCCAATTTATTTCCTGATTTTTCCCTGGCTTGTGTTGAGCCCTCTTCCAAATCAATCTCTTTCCTACACCTTCTGGGGTTCTGTGCTCTCATCCAATCCAACCCTTTCCCCAGTCTAGGCTCTTCCTCTTCATGTTGTCTGTTTTGCTTCTGCTGTGGGCAGGCTTCAAAGTAGAAGCACTTACCTCTGTGCCATCTTGGTTTCTATTGTACATGGCTAGAAATTTCTGCTGTGTCATCTTGTTTCTACTGCTCATGCGCTTACCTCCCCTTGCACCATCTTGGTTGTGCATGGCTCAAAGTAGAGAAATTTCCTCCCCTGCTGTCCTCTCTCCCAGGCCCCTATAATCTGGTACCAAGCCAGAAGCGTCCTGGGGAGATTTTTTTCCTGCCCACTTCAAGGATTAAGTCCCGAGGGCAAAGGATGCCTCAGTCTCTTGGAGTGTGTGAGTGAGCCTGTAAATGGTATGGCTTCCTAGTAAATCAAGCTTGACGGAATGCTGTAACTTCCCAGCGAAGTAGACCTAATATCTGATTCGTCTTCCCAGTTTAAGCTTGATATTTGATTCCGTTTGTTCCCTTTATTAATACTAACTACCCATGCTAACAATCTTAGCACACTTCATTTCATGCTTAAAGATTTAGTTAAATGCATGCACCATAGAGGAGTTTCACTTTATCATACTGATAATGCTTGTGCATGAAAAATTCAGGTTAATGATAACAGAGAAAACAGCACTAAAAACAGATGCCAATCATTGTGAACCACACATATGTTAGCTGAATACCTACATTTCAAACAGAAGAGGACCTTGGCAAAGATTGTGTGCAAAACAAGTACTAAATCTGCAACAGATACTTTGACAATATTGCAGCTGTTTCCTTAAGAGAAGTTAAAACAAACACAAACAAACCTATACAACTGATCTTTATTGTAAAATGTTAGTTAACAAATAAATGAATAAACATACAAATAAGCGAGTCCTAAAGCTGATCAGCTTCATTAGGTTTACAGGGGCCCTCAGTGCTGCTAGGTGATCCATTCACTCCTCCTTGCTACTGGGACTCTGGTCATGGAGCCCAAAGTCGTTCCAAACCTTTTTTGTTCAGGCCTCCCAGCCACCTCTGGTTCCTTCACCTGAGCAGAACGGTAAGGGCCTACCCAATGTAAGCCTCCTCAATTTTTCTCTCTTACTTTCAAAGTTGAACTACATTCTCACTGTTCTCCTCACTCTTCTGTTCCAGGGGAAGGAAGTTCTCTTCCATACCTCTTTCTTCGCCTGCCCCCTGATCCTATCCCCCCACTCCCCACCATGGGCTGGCTTAGTCAGCTCCTTCCTCTTTTGTATCCTCAGTTTCTACCCATGCCTGACTCCTTACCAATCTATGAAAATGTTTAAGGCTTCTCATGTCTCAAAATCCTTCTCTCAACCCTATTCTATCTCAAGATTTTTCTCTTCTCCATATTCAAACTTCCTAAAATAATCTTTTCTTTTTCTAATATATTTAACAAATGTTTACTTAGTTATGACCAGTCTAGCATTAAGCTAAGACCTCAAGATACACGATTAATGACATCAGGCAGACTTCACATGGGACACCAGATGTCTGCAGATGAAGTGCAATGCTGTGTAATTTTTTGGAAAAAAAAGAAATAAAGGATTAAGTAGTGCAAAGGCACCCAGAAGAAATGACTGACTTTAAAGATCAGTTAAGAAGTCAAAAAGACGTGACATTTGAGATGGATCTTCAAAGATTAAGATTTCCCCAGTTGTAGCAGCTTGGGGGTTTCATCTCCCACTCACTTCTCAGCCGTTGGAATCTAGCTATTGCCTCCATATCTTACTACTGATCTCTCCAAAGTCACTTCCTAACAGCCAGACGCATTCATTTAACCAACCTCTTTCTTCAGGACACTTTCTCTTCTCTTGGCTTCCAAAATACTGTTCTTACTTCATTCTCAGATTCTTTCACTGAAATAGATTTCTCCTCCTTAATCTGTCCCTTAAGTGTAAACCTCTCCTAAATTGCTGTCCTTTGTCCTATTTTCTTCTCACTTCACCCTCTCCTTCCATGATCTTACCACCTTTATAGAGTTGACTTTTCCTGGGCCTCATTCTTGAATCCCAGAACCGTATTTTCACACTTCTCTCAGCAGATTCAACTAATATTTATGGAGGCCCTACTAGGTTCAGTGTTAGCTGCTTCTATACACACTACCTAATGTAGCATGTTCCCCATATTTAGCACATGCACATCCAAACTAATTTTCTTTTACCCTAAATATGTTTCTCCTAGTCTTCCCAGATCTGTTTGGTAAGGTTTCTAGCAAAGATTTACAGTAATGGCACCAAGCAGAGTTAGAGTCCCTCTTCAAAGCTGCAGTAGTGCTTTGTGCTCAGATAGCACTCTCTGTCTGTCAGACTTTGAGGAAGGGCGGCATCTGCCACTTTTCTTTGTCTCATTTGTGAACTCTGCCCCAACTTTAAAAGTAGGGGAACTCTCCACTGAACCAAACTCCTGACACTGAATTCAAATAAATGAAATGGCTAAAACTCAATGAAAGAAAACCAATTTCACAGCATGGCATTCAAGGCCTGCTGCTACCAACCCCCGTCTCCAGCCGGGCGTCATCCCCTGCGGACCGTGTTTTCCTGGGCACTCCCTGCTCCTTCCCACCTTGGTGCTTAGGCTCTTGCGTGCACCTCATTTTGTGAAGTCCTTTTCCTGTTCACCAGATGAAAATCTGTCATTGAAGGCCCGCGTTAAACACTGCCTCCATCATGAAACTCCACCACTTTTGCAGTCAAAATGTACCTTTAAACTACCCCAAAGAACTGAGTTTACGTCTTGTCTGAGGCATGCACCTATCATATTTCCTATTCCGATGACTATGCATTTATTTGACCCTCTCCAGACTGAGCACCTGCCACACTCTGGAACTGTGCTATAATCATGTCCTATTGAGGAAAAGTCCCTTTTTTTTTTTTTTTGTCTAAGCAATAGATATTTGTGAATTTAAAAATATCTACTATAGCTTAGAACCAAATTAAATGGCTTTCTATATGTTGTTTTCAGTTTTCATTTCTTCATGGTGCAGATCACACATAAAAAAATACAAGCTCCCTTTCCATGATTCTAGTGGCCACAAATCCTTTCTGATAATACAAACACAAAATGGCAAAACCACAGAATTTAGGATTGGAAAGTACATAATAGATATTTCATTACAATGTACCACTGGCATTCCAAAATTTACTAATGGCGCTTTAATCTATTCCCAAATAAGTTTGAATTTACAGTAATTTGTAATTTTGCTGAGATACGAACACATGTCAATTTTTTCTACTACAGGGGAAATCACATCACTAGTATGTGAGCTTAGTCAATGCATGTGGTTTTATTTAGCTCAATTTTGTTTGTATATAAATAAATAAATGCTAAATAGAAAAATGCAAGCAGAAAGGTTGGAGAGATGAATTGGGCATCTCATTGGACAAGACTACTTGGGGTTTAAAAACTGGTGGCAACTATCCCATGGTCCATGAGAACCATCCCAGGCCAGAAACAACAGCTTTCTCTCTTCCTTTTTCTTGTAAATTGTGTTTATGTCTTTAAGGATCAAGATAGTTCACATTAAAAAAAAAGGAGACATTAACATAAAATCAAAGAAATTAAGTAAAACCATATAATCTTAATTTATTACAAATGTTAGTATAAACTCTTTAAAAGACACACAATTCCCAATTCTTTCCAAGCGAAAAGCCTAAAAATAATGGCCAACTCTATATTGATAAGCATCTTTCCTGCCAAGATTGTGATCTCTACCTATCATTTCTTTTGAAGAAATTTCTGATTTTAAGTTTGTGTGAGGAAATGTATTAAATTAACCCATTTGTCATATTGGAAAACAAAGGAGTTATTAAAGACTTCTAATTTTGGGGTTATGCCCAAAACTTGGAACCAAACTGAAGAAGCTTCCACTGTCCCAGATGGGGCAATGTGAGCATACATAAGAATAATCACAGCAGAATTGAAACGCACCAAATATGTTAAAATCCATGGGCTCACAGTGATACTAAATAAAGAAAAAGAATTAAGCTTGCTTTTCTTGGACAAACTTTACCTCAGAGTAAATAAGTAATTAATGAGATAAAGGGTCTCTCTATTTATTTATTTATTTCTGAAAATAAATGAAACAAATGATAGAATTAGCATATTACTATTTTACCAATATCAAATGAAATAATGGTTATAGGTAAATATCATTAGATAGTACATGCTGTTGACCAGAAATCGTTCAACCAAAATATCAAACCTCCATCAGATCAACTTTTAGATGTAACTACCAGTTTACAAGAAATATTAAGGTATGTGAACATGCTAAACATGGATACAATGAGAAAATACAAAATGTGGAGAATTCTATATGACCAATTATATGTTAAAAGACGTATCAACCATATTGGGTCCTGATTTAATAAAGCAACTGTTTAAATAAAAAAAAAATTAAACCACTGACGATAGTCATTTCTGTTAATGGTATAGTGATTATTATTATATGGTTTCTAAAAAATCTCTTATCTTTTAGAAATATATACTTATACAAACACAAAATGGCACAGCCACATTTCAGTGATTAGGTTACTTAAGTCTAAGTTTCAGAATTTAGGATGGAAAGTACATAACAGATATTTTATTATATGTACTGTTGGCATTACTCAATTTAATAATGATGCTTTAATTTATTCCCAACTAATTTTGAATTTGCAGTAATTTTTAATTTTCACAAATGATGCCTGAGATTTATCTCAAAATAACCCAGGTGTATGGGGGAATCTGGAGGGCTGTTGATAAAACAAGAATGTCCATGAGTTGCTTACTGTCATAGTTAGGTAAAGGGTCTTTGAAGATACATGGTACTATTTTCTCATCTTATGTGTATATTTGAAATATTTGTGTATCTTAAAATTTTCAATGATAAGAGATGGTAAGCACATACAGACTCCCACACATAGGATGTTTTTCATAATTTAACGTCTTTACTCACATGAATTAATGTTTACCCAACAACCTATTGATGAAATTTGCCATCATAGAGATACTTATTATTATTAATTATTCTTTTAGTAAAGTGCCATTAAGAATCAGCTTCAAGAAATCCTGCTATGCTTTATACTAGAATGCATATAATGTTAAGATTTATTTCTCCACAAAATCAGGACTGAATTTACAGTTAAGAATGTTTATTAAAAGTGGATCCTGTCATCCTGACCAAGTGGCACAGTTAGTTAGAGCACTGACCCATAAACCAAAAGGTCACAGATTTGATTCTCGGTCAGGGTACAACCCTGGGTTGCTGTTTTGGTCCCTGGTCGGGGTGTGTATGAGAGGCAACCAATCAATGTTTTCCTTTCCCATCTATGTTTCTTTCTCTCTCTGCTTCCCTCTCTAAAATCAATAAGCATGTCCTTGGGTGAGGATTAAAAAACAAGTAGATCCTGCAAATTTTCTTACTGATTTACATTGGGTCAAATGTTATTTTTTTTAAATGAACTCGTCACTGACTTAACATGAAGAAGCTTATGTGTTGCAAATAAACCTGTACACTCAGGAGAAAGATGGGAAAGAGCAATCCCACTTACCTAGCCGTCTTCTCAAACTGTATGTCATCCACTGAGGCTGTAACACAGGAAACCCCAGCATGTTTCTCAGCTTCAAAAAATAGGTAAAAATATGCTGTATCAATAATGTTTGAATATCTTAACTTGGGGAAAAGGAATAAAAGTTAAGTGGCTTTATCTTAGTAATTCATCTTCTCATTCAACATAAGACTACCGTGTCCACACTCTGAACGATCTGAAGTGTAAAAGGTACATTCTTATTGCATGGAAATTACTGAAGCTTCTTGTACATTTTAATTTACATCATCTTTGATTTGAAATTTAATACCAATACACAGCATATCTAGTTATTCAGATAGCAATTTTAGTAAGTTGGTGCCACCTTTAAATGCTTTGTTAGGTACTGCCTTCCTTTTGTTTTAAAAACAATGCATCAAAGCTGTATCCATTATCCCACACAACCAGGAGCTGAATGCATTTAAGCCACTTAATCAGTGGAAGCACAGAACAGTATGGGAGACCCTGAGATCGCACTCCAAATCAGAGAGGAAGTTTTCTGGACACCAGAGAAATGCAGCAGGTATGCGGTCACTGTTGTTATTTTTATTACCGAATTCATTACGCTTTAGGCAGGTTGGAGGAGAAGAGCATTGATTAGGGTGGACAGAGATTAGGGAGGAGCTCCAGTTATTTCCACGGCCTCTGTCTGCATTTAATTTGTTAAGGTATTTTGATTGTTGGTTTTACAAGTACTTTCTATAAAAATATCAGATTTTATTCTCTTTGGGGAAAATTTTGACATATGCTTCTGCTAGAATTTGATTTTGAGGAACAGTCCGTTAAAACACAAACATTGGTTTTTTAGGAACTTTTAGCCCCATTTTAGTTTTGGAGACTTCATTCCTGATGCTACATTATAAAAAGAAACAGTAAATTATACTGAATTTTTATTCTTTGTGTGTAGTGGGTTTCTTTAACAGCAATATATATTCCCAGGTAAAGAGAGGTGAGAAAATCTTCCAGAGAGCAAGTAGTTAAAAATACTCTTCCCTATAATACAATTCTGTAGAATATTAAACATTCTGATTTTACCAGTTGGAAATAACTCACTGTTCTTCCAAACATGCACATAACATAAACTGAGTTACCAGAAAACGAACCACAGCAGGACTCTGTGAGGGATGGAGTGGGGAGGATGGGTTCCCCACCTATAAATTTTAGTGAGAAGAAGAATGCATAAAGGTGTCAGACTCTAGAAATACAGGGGGTGGGCAAAAGTAGGTTTAGAGTTGTAATACAATAATTAATAAATAATAATACAAGAATAGCCCTGACTTGTGTGGCTCAGTGGATTGAGTGCCAGTCTGCAAACCAAAAGGTTGCCAGTTTGATTCCCAGTCAAGGCACATGCCTGAGTTCCAGGCCAGGTCCCCAGTTGGAGGCATGCGAGAGGCAACCAATGGATGTTTCTCCTGCACGTTGATGTTCTTCTCCCTCTTTCTCCCAGTTTTCCCTTCTCTCTAAACATAAATAAATAAAAAAATAGAAAAATAAAAAAATGCAAGAATAAACTGTTTTGCATACTCACAACTGTAAACCTATTTTTGCCCACCCTGCACTTAAGGTAAGATGATTTTAATTCAGCGTACCCGATATTTGTCAAGTTCCCACTGACTTGAAGAGCCTGAGCTGCATCAGTCCTATCTTTTAACAAGTCTACTCAGTTGGCAGAGATCCGGCCACAGTCAGTGACCTTTTAGTGCTTGAGATTTCCAGGGAACTCACAGCGCCTTGCAGATATATGCTGCAAAACATTGACTCAAGGGTGCCTAACAGACATTCATTCCAGTGACCTGGCACGAGGAAGAGGATGCTGAGCTTATTAGTCTATTCTTGTTTAAAAATGTTGCCGTGTACACCAACATGAGTTACCAATTTTGAATGACTTAAGTGGTAATTAAGGTGCAATAACCAATAAAAGACTAAATTTTTATTGTATATATTAGGTATCTACTATGTATATGTATCACCATATTAGATTGCACTAGGGACCAAGAAGAAACATAATTATAATAATAGTTACCATTTATTAAACATTTATTACTGGCCAGGCCTTGCGCTAAGAATTTATGCATGCCCATTACATGAGGCTGGTACAATTATTACATTTACAAATGAGGAAATTTGGGCTTAGAAAGATTAATTACATTGTTCTAAATATGGATTTTAACTACAGAAGCAATAGGAACTCAGAAAAGACTTGGCTAAATAGGGGCTTTAGGGCCTCAGTAGCCATGGTTTACATTATAGACATTCAAGGGCCATTAAACTGAAAAGGAAAAGAAAAATATGAGAAACTAATATAGGGCCACAATTTTTATATATGATTATATGTGATTGTTTTCTTTTTACAAGTGTATCAGACGTGAATTCAATAGCACCAACTTGTTCTGGCTCTTGATTTTGTTGTTCATATTGTATGCCAATAAAATGGAAAAGCCTTGAAACTATTTCTGATTCCCTCGGAAGCAGGGAGGAAAAGTAGCAGAGTAGCTATGTGATTGTGATCCAAGTATAAAAATGACGCTTGATAAAAATTGTGATACCTTCATTCATTCATTCCTTTAACTAATTGAACAACTGTGCTATGCCAGCCTCTATGAGAGGTACTAAAAATATAATATAATCCTGATCCCTGTTCTCATGGAGTCTAGTAGAGGAGCCAGGGATTAATTAAATGAATAAATGATAACAAAATTAACTAAGCGTTCTGAAGAAAACATGGTTTTTAAGGAACCACACCTAGATGGCTTGGACAAGGTGGTGGTAGTGCAGGCAGAGCAATGCAGTCGGGTTTAAGAGATTTCTTTCGTGTGACATAGATAGGACATGGCTCATAGACTGAATAGGTGGAGGGAGAAGCAAGGTAAGAGTTATCAAAGATGGATGACTCCTAGATGTATGACTTGCATAACTGGATGGATTGGGTGCCATTCTTGAGAGAGTGAATGAACCCTGGAAAAGATTCACAAGTGAAATAAGGAGGGAAAAGTGTTTGGGATATTTCAAAATAAGAAATGGATATGGAGTGTGAAGAATGACTCAAAATGGCTTCAAGCCTCTAGGCTTAAAGGGCTAAAAGAATAGTGGAGTCAGTGACAGATGAGGTCTTATGCCAAAACGATAGTGAATGTATTTAATCTTCCTTTAAATTATTGAGAAGATATTTTAGAATGTCTTGTGGGCATGCCTTGGGGCCATCACTGCAGTTGTTGTTTATTATAGGACTGGGGCTATACAGAAGTGCCGGTCAATAAGGAACTCTGGTTGGGAAAATGACAGAAAACCTAGTTTTTGTGTTACTCCTATTGTATAAAATAGAGCAGCGTGGTGGAGCATTTCTCTGCCTCGGATTTAGTTCCATCTTGGCTAAATGATGTACCTTGCTTATGTGGTGCCTCTTCTCAGCATGGAGTGTTTAACACAGTCATTGTTCATGCTTCCAAGTAAATTTTATTATGAAGGTTTCTTTAATACTGTATTGTTAGTAACATAACTGTTAAGGTCCAGAGTAATTGGTTATCTATGAAATCATCCTATGGTCTGAGTTTCCAAAGATGTAAAACCACAGAAATTGTTATGACAATTGTAGGAGGGCAATTGTTCCTGCACTATAGGACAGAGGCACTAAGTGAGGTAACTTTAAAAGTCACTACAAAACAAATAAACAAGTAAAATAGAACCAGAGATGTGGGAATGAGGAACAGACTGACAGGGACCAGAGCGGAGGGAGGAGGGGAATAGTGGGGGAAAGAAGGGGAGGGTCAAGTCAAAGAACAGGTGTAAAGGACTCATGATAATGGACAACAGGGTGGGTATGGACTGAGGGAGCGGGGGCGGGGGCAGGGGGGAGCCAGGGGGGGAAATTGGGACAACTGTAACTGAACAACAATAAAAAAAGTCACTTCAATATTCACATAATGTATTCAGTTGCCTTGGCAACAGGCATCATTATTATTAGCAACCTCAATGATTTCTATACTTGTTTCTCCTTCATGTGGACTAATTTTATATTCATGCTGCCATTATGTTATTATAGCCCACCTCAAATCCTGATAAAAAACTATTAAGACAGAAACCAAACAGACCTACCAACAAACAGAAAACAAACAAACAGATTGGCATCAGATATATGACTGAATTTTGCAGGTGGTTAACACACAGGGAATTAGAAACTCTATTAACACTCATTGAGCAAAACAGGGGTCTGTAATCATCTGAGATTTACTTTTGCCCTCTGTGACATAAGAGACCTGGGATACATGATCTTTAAAGCTCCTTCCAGCTCTAACATTTTATCTTAACATATTTTACTTGAAAAGGAACATTTGCCGAGTCTGTGAGGAGACTTATGCAAAGCCTGTCTTCCTTTTAGAAATGAGATTTCAATTCCTGGAACCAACCATCCACCCATCCATCCATCCATCCATCCATATAATCAGGAGGTTTTCATTTAGTGCTACTAAGCACTGCAGAACTAGCTTTAGTTCACATGCTAATCAGCAAGACAGGAAATAAATAGGTGGACAGTTCAATATACAAAATAATTACAGGCAGTGCTAAGTAGTATTGTGGACCAAAAAAAGTGGGTGGTTCTATGGAAAGTAACCTCACAGGATGATCTCATCCTAAATTTCTACTGAGCAGGTCATGCCCCAGGTACATCACTTCTTTAGTGGAAGATTTTAAGCCAACCATTGTTCTTGTGCATCTAAGGTTAACACAGCTTTGAGATTCCAGAAGTAACATCCCTTGAAGGGAGTATTAACCCTCAGGAAAGCACATAATTTTAACTATGCTGCACTCCAATCCCTGGCTTGCTTTCTCCCATCTTCCTCACACCCCCTTCCTTAATTTCAAATGCATAAAAGAAGCTGCAAAACTGTTACTGTCTGAAGCATTTGAAATCTTGCTTCTGGCATATGTCATCAGTTTGGCTCAAATAAATTCCTATAAATATTTATTCTCTCCACGTTTGTTTGGATGTTTCTTACCTTGACAGTATAAGCTGGAAAAAGCATTGCGATGAAATTGACAAAAGGGTGCAAATGTAAGCATGGCTGGAAAAGATTTCTCTAAGGAAATGATACTTAAGCTGAGATGCAATGTATGGAAAAGGCCAAGAGAAGAATACCATGGTAAAGGGGAAATCAGGTGCAAAGGACCTGAGCAGAGACTCAGTAAGTGGGTGGTAGGCAACACACCGAATGCAGAAATAATATGAGAAGTGAGTGATCCTCTATTTAACCAGACATTAAAGAGATATGCAGAAATGTAACCCATACTGGTCCTTAAAGTACATTTTTGTTATTGTTGAGAATACAGTTCTTCTTCAATAAAAATATGAAATGGGTTCATTCCTGTTATTTTTTTTTTAAAGATCTCATTTATTTATATTTTTAGAGGGAAGGGAAGGAAGGGAGAAAGAAGGGGAAAGAAACATCAACGTGTAAGAGAGAAACATCATCGGTTGCCTCTCCAAGGCGCCCCGAGAGGGGCCGCGCGGCCACAGCCCAGGCCAGTGCCCTGACCTGAGAGGGACGGAACCAGCGACTTTTCGGTTTGCAGCCCAACCAACTGAGCCACACCAGTCTGGGCCATTCCTATTCCTTTTTAAATGGATTTATTTTTTGTATATGGTAAGTATGGATAAAAATAACTCATATAAACAGAAGCACTCCGGGGTCCTCTTTTATTTAATGGGGTAAGGGAGTCCTAAAATGTTTGAGACCTTCTGGCCTAGGTCTTTCCCAGTGTTGGATGAATTAGCTTAATCATTATGGTCCCAGCTGCACAGGACTCACAACTCAAAATATCTTCCTCTCCTCACTCATCCTGGGTCCTGGTCCGGGTCCTGGTCCTGGTTTTGGCGCGGCGCGGGCTGGGGAGCCAGGCGCCGACTTCCACGCTCGGATGGGTTACCCAGGATCTCCCAAGTCCTGACCCCAGCCATCCTGCGTTCCCGCCATCCCGCACCCCTACGCCCCAGCCCGCCTTCTAGTCCCCAGACACCCCGCGCCCCGATTCTGTACCCGTTCCAGCCCCGCTCCTCGACTGCCCCGGCCGTCGCGCTCCTACCCGCCAGGCAGGCGGTGGTGTCGATCCACTTAAGCAGCTGGCCCGCGCTGAGCTCGCCGCGAGAGCTGGCATGCGCCGGCTGGATGGTCTGGCTCATGTGCACCTCCCCGGGCCCGGGCCGCGCCATGGCTGGGCCCAGCGGGAGAAGCCCCTCCGCGGAGTGCGCGCGGTCCGCCCCGGGCCCGCCCGGATCCAAAGGGCACCTGCGGCACCGCTGCCCTGGCCCCGATCCTGCTCCCTGCAGGATCGGGGTAATGTGGGGCGACAGAGGTTGACAGAACTGAGGCCGTCCTGGCTTTGTCACCCTTAAATAGGGAGGATGGCTACACTCATCTTAGGACTGTGCAGAGAATTAAATGAGATAACGTAGAAAACTCACAGCGTGTGCTTGTGTATTTGGTAAGTTAATAAATAGTGAGGTCTGAAGAATTTGACAGGTGATGGAGAGTTAAGAATTGATTAGTTAAATAATGTCCAGAGAATGTGTACCTTTTGCTGTAGAAGCTGATTTTAGAGCCTGCCTGCCTGCCTCCCTTCCTTCCCCTCTTCTCTCTCTCTCTCTTTCTCACCTTTCTTTTACCGGCCATTTACTGTCAGGTGGGATGTGTACCCGTGTCTCAAGCCTTCATTCAAAATCCTCCTTCTGATTCTTAATGTAATACAGTGGCTCCAAATAACCTTTTGTTGTTAACCCATCATTTTGTTATGAAATTACCCCCGCTGCCAAACAAAAAGAAAAGTGCAGATTTTTGCAGACACATCAGAGTCACTCAACAAACTAAGGCAACGTTTTGGTTTTAATCTAGAGAATTTATGATTAGAAACTCTTATCTCATTCCTAATGATCCCAGCAAATCCCAAGAGACTCTCTTCTTTACGGAAGACAAAATCTAGAACGTTAAATAATTTTTATTCTCCGCCCTTAGCACAGAAAAGCTACTACACTTTTTAGAGCTGAAATCAGTGACTTTACAAAGCAGTTCTCATTAAGGCACAGGACACCAGAAAACCTCCCGCATAGGACAGATTCATAGGCATCACGTTGTTAGGGGCGGCTGTGCCGGGGAGAGCATTTATGAGTGACGAAGTGGAAGCTTGGCGCGGAAGCAGCGTGCGGGGTATGCTGCTGACTTGAAAGCAGCAGCTAAGGTAGTGGAACACCTGGCTTTCCTCAGGGCTGCTGACTGTCCAAAGCAGCTGACCGCAGAACCGAAATGACCCCAACGAACATGTGGTGCTGAGCAGATGGTCTGCTAAGCTCCAGCTCGGAGACAGCAGAATGGAGAGTCTGTTAATTTTGCTTTTCCTTTTAAATATTTATTTAATTTAATTTTATATTATATTATTTTATTTTATTTTTTATGAAAGAGAAGAACTAAGGAACCATAGACTTGATAACCTTCAGGATCCTCTCTAGGTAGGTTTCCATTCCATATAGGGATAGATAAAAATTAGATGCATTCAGTTAGACAAGCATGAAGTTTGACTTTTATAAAAAGCATAAAAAATAACTTTTTTAAACCAAAAAATTAAAATTTGTGCCTCAAGATTGTCCTTTCATGTAGCTATATACTTATCTCAGTGACAATGTTATCACTTGTATCACTTTTGGCACATCTTCTTGGAAAACATCTCTAGAGTTCTTACTATCATTTTGACAGATTATATTGTTCAGCAGATATTTACTTAATCTACTGATAACTCCATAGGGGGCATTTATTCATGTTGGGCTCAGTCATATGAGTTGCTTTGAAATGCATTGTGGGAAGGTAAAAGTATACCAGTTCCAAACCTAGCCTTTCCAGGAACCATATATTCCTGTTCTTGGGAATGTCTGGCTTCTGTCATGAAAAGATTATATGCCTGAGTGGCTGCTCCACCAGCATCTGGGTGCCAGGCTGAATTCACATTTTGCAGAGCCCTGCTAGCTAACCTGCAGACCTACAGCCCGCAGTGGAGCCTCCAGACATGCAGACTCATGAGTGAGACATTTCCTGTTGTTGTATGTCACCATGGTAAGAGGTTGTTTGTTATACAGCAATAGCTGACAGTTCCAGGTATGACTTTTATTTATTAATATTTTAGGAAATTTATTAAGTTATGGGAAATAGAGTTTGTGTTTAAGTTGGGTTGTATTATTTCCGGGAAAAAAGCAGTGACAAAGTGGTAATATTATATATACATGTACTCCTATACTTGTTTCCCTGTAAACTTGAGGAATTTAAAAATTGTTTTAAGAATAGGTATGAAAAATTGGCTTTCCAAAGAGATTATGTTAAAGGGGACAGCTTGTATCTGTATATGTATGTTAGGGATGTTTGGTCAAAAAGTAGACACAGTACACAAACCGACTATTGTGTTTTCTTCTACATACTCTCTCCTATTTAGATGTCTTTTGATTACGGTTTCATATCTTTTGTTGGTTTCACACTGATTTCCATTTTAATAGCCTCAGCCTAACACTACTATTCTTATGTTTTTCTGAATGGTCTCTTTTTCTTTTGCACAATGAAAATGTCATTTTTGCTATTATGTTTGAAGAAAAGGCTTCCATTTTCCATTTCTGTTTAGAGACATCTTTTGAAGATGAGCAGAATGTGAAGCCAGCTTGATTTTAAAAGGTCATGCACAAACGCAGGAAGGCTGATTGGGGAGAGAGTGGAAAGTGTGATAATGAGAACATCTTTCGAATGTTGGAGTGGGAAGGGAACTAGACAGCCTGACCCCCTCATTCTGGAGAGGAAAAAATGAAGTGTTTGCCCTGAGTCACATTGCAAGGTAGTGGCTGGGCTTTAGAAAAACTGAGAACAAGGAGCACAAAATAGAAGGAGAGGAAAAAGTCCTTCTCCAAGAAACAGACCCTCCAACATGAATTTGAGAACAAGCCATTTATCTGGGAGGAAACAGCAGAAAGTGCTTGCATCAGAGTCCATGTGTGGTCCCCAGACGAGCAGCCCCGGCTTCACCTGGGAGCTTGTTAAAAATGCAGCATCTCAGGCCCCAGCCAGACCTGCTGCTTGAGACTCCACGTTTTATTAAGATGCCCAGGTGAGCCATAAGCACATTAAATTTTGTGAAGAACAGCCTCTCAGAGACATGGAAGCTGGGCTTTTGTCCTCCAACTCCCATTCCTAACTGATTAAGGGCTGTTCCCGAGGGCCTTAGCTCCCGGCACTTAGGCTGACGGCCAGGGGAGAGCGGGCCTTCAGCAGAGCTTCGCCTCAGTGGGACGTCAGGACACTGTCAGCCTGTGACGGTGCCAGAACGGCGGATGCTGAAGGGATGCCAACAAGGCAGAGAGCCGTGATACTTCCACTGTTCTGAACATCATCGGCAGCTGGAAGCCTTTTCATTTTAGGAGATGAGTCCCTGGCAGAGGATTTGGTAATTCAAAGTATTTCATACAGAAATACTCTCTATGTTTGGAGCCCATAAGCAGTTCATGAGAGAAGCACACTAGACCAAAGCTCATTTGAGTGGTCTGAAATTAGCTATCAGACCCGAACTCTCTCAGACTCTGTCTTCACCTTTGGTATAGGTTAGGAAAGGTGTCAGGTCAATGATTTCAAGTTCAAATTCAAATTTAAAAGGATGTGGTTAAAATTTAAACACAAAGCCCCTAAGCAAACATTCCAGAATGGGCATTGCCAACTTCACGCAGGGTCTCTCGTTTTTCTTTGCTCCTGGACACGACTCTCGGGATTTCTCTGTCCTTGGGGGATTGGGCTCTCCCATTTAGCACTTGAGGCCACAAGCCAACCCTTCTCCTGTTTGTCCCTGTGCTTCCAGTGGCCCTGCCACCCAAACATACAAGTGTTTAATGTACAACCTTGGACTCACCTAATACGTGTGCTGTGCAGCAATTTACTTTGGTTGAACAAAAGCCACTTGTGCAGAGTCCAATTTTTTCACTTTGCCAGGTTTGCTTGGCCCCACCTCCTTGTGCCCGGCACTGCTCAGTGGAGCCCCCTGGCTGCCACCACCACTACTTGTCAATGTGCTGAAGTACATGGATTATTTTCAAATATAGAATCAACCTTGTGTCCCTCGAAAAAAATCCTCTCAGTCATGGTGCATAATTCTTTTTATATATTGATGAATTCTCTTTGCTAATATTTTACTAAGGATTTTTATAGCCCTATTTTTTAGAGATATTGGTCTGTACTTTTCTTTGTTTTTTCCCCCTTTATTCTTTTTCTTTTTTCTTTCTTCCTCCCTTTTACTCCCCCCCCGTCTTTGTCAACCTGGAATAAGTCTTCACTTGCATGACCTTGCCACTTTGAAGGTTACAGGTCAGTTATTTCTCAATTTGGGTTTGCCTGCTATCTCGTCATAACGAGGTGGAGTTTATGCATCTTCAGCAGGGATATTAAGAAGATGCTGTATTCTTCTTCTTGCATCTTATCTAGCGGTACACAATTCAATCTGTCCCATTTTTGATGTTCATTTTTGTCATTTCATTAAGTGATGTCTCCAGGCTTTTCTCCTGAAAATTTCCCTTTTGTAATTAATAAGCATTTTGTGTGGAGGTACTTTGAAACTGTAAATACTCATTCCTCAGGAAATTTTTGATTGATTCATTAATTTATTTTTATTTCCATGGGCCCATGGTTTCTTATTTTACTCAACGTTATTATCATTATTCATTTTGATGCTGAAATTGTTCCCAGTTGGGTCAGAGGGAGCCTCCTCAAGCTGGCTTTTGGGTCCTTTTGATATGTCTCTATCATTCTTTTGTAATTTCTCATTTCCCAGTATAACCAGATGTTTCAGTCTCATCTTGTATTTTTTTCTTACCTGCCCCTGGAACTAGGCATCCTAATCACTAGAACATGTGAATATTACCTTATATGAAAAAGTGTAATTAAGTATCTGAGAAGAGAAGCTTATTCTGAATTTTCCAGGGACACTTAAACACAATCACATGTATTATTAGAGATGCACAGAGGAGAAAACACACAGAGAAGAGGAGGAGACAGAGACTGGAGTGATGTGGGCACAGGCTAAGGAACACATGGAGCCACCAGAGGCTGGAAGGGGCAGGGAAGGGCTCTCCCCCAGAGCCTTCGGACAGAGTGTGACCCTGCGTACACCTTGATTTCAGACTTCTGGCCTTCAGAATGGTGAGAGAATAA